ATAACCCCAGTTAACCAATATGATGTTTATAACAAAAGTTGGTAAATAAATGCAAGTTGTAATTTTAACTTTTTTATGAGGTAAAAAAAAAACCATAACGCCCTTAGTCCTTTGACACATGTGACCTTGAAAGTGGGTCAAATTGGCATTCATTTGAATGCAGAAATGTAAAATGTAGATCCCTACTGTATAACCCCCATACACGCCTCAAGCTAGTGGGCATGAACAGACATCTATCCAACTGGGATTGACTCCGTGGTCCAGTCATGCCCTAGGGGACGTACTCCCTAGTCATATCATGGAACAGATGAACTACTCAACCCGCTGCCAAATATGCAATCTAAAACATGCTAACAACAGTGGCCACAGGATCTGTTCCCGTCATTGTACTTGTTCTGTCCCTGGGTCATAACTCGGAAAATATTGAAATCCCCACTCTTTACAACCCTCCACTGTATAGGCAGTCGTTTTTGTGAGCTTCAGTTATAGACACATTTTTTGTTTTTGTTTTCGTTATTTTTTTTTATTTTTTTCCAAATTTATAACAATGCAAATATATCATACATAAACATTATTCCTCTCACACATTACAATTCATTCATTAAATATTCATTTATAATAAAACTGCATATTTCCAGGTATAATTAATAATTAATTATGTTTATGTATAATTAAATTCCATCTAAATTGTGTCCGTTATATAAAAGCATTGTTTAGAAGTGATAGAAAAGAGGTTAGAGCAGGTCCTAGAGGTATAGAAGGGAAAGTAAGACTAAGAGAGAGAGAAAAAAAAGAAGAAAGAAAAGGAAAAAAAAACAAAAAACGAGGGGGGGCGGGGGGATATTGAGAAATAAAGAAGCTATATAGATGTGTTGGAAGATTCAAGGAGTTTTACATATAAGTATTTAGAAGTACATGTTTATATTAGAAAACTCGATAGTTATATGTTCATATTTTGGCAAAGACAGGGTTTAAGCAATATTAATTAGACTTTCCCATTTTTTCCACTCAGTATTGAATTTCAATAAAAATAATTCACTTTTATTAACAGCAATATATCTCTGAGTTAAATATGTGTCCTTGATAACGTTCTTAAGTGCAGCTACTGACAATGACATTTGTAAACATCTCGATTTATAAATATATTGTTTTATAAGTAAAATTATGGTATTATCTACCCTACTACTGATACTATTTTGATTAAATAAACCGAAAATGAAGGTTTCCTTGTTAAAACCAAATGGGATTAACAATGCATCAAGAAGGAATTCAAAATTTTGTAAAAAGTCTTGTACACATTTTTACTAAATATGAGGACATCAAATGTATGCTGATTAAAATGGCATGATCTGGAGATGACAATGAATCTAATGTTTGCTGATATTGTTCCTGATGTCAACTTTCAAACATTTTCTATGATCAATCAATGCAGTATGCGCTATTGAGCTATTTTATTTTTTTGTGTAATTTTTTAATTTTTTTTCCAAATTATAACAATGCAAATATATCATACATAAACATTATTCCTCTCACCCGCGACCCTTGGCTCTCCAGACTGATGCTCTACCGATGAGCTAAAAGGAAATTCCCTACAGCTGACGCTTGTAAGGCAACCTAATCAATACACAACTTTTACAACAACATCAACTGGGATATCAGCAAATGTAATCCAGTGTTTACAATATTTTGCCTTTTTATGACCTGTTTTATTTCCCGCGCAAACAATCGACATGTCGAAAAGTAGTAACTATACGATGACGTCATTAATCTATTGCACTACTGTAGACGTCACTCTTTACACCCATGTTGTTATTGGTTATAAACTCGGCAGGGCACCGCATTTTGTACCTTAGGGATGTTTTGAAAAGTATACGTTGTTCTGATGACGTCCCACCTAGTACATCTTCGCTAGCAAAGTGTTCGCTTCGTATACACTCCACTTACGAAGATGACATAGTAACACTGGATTAAATTTACTGATATCCCAGTTGATGTTGTCATGATGGTCATCTCTTTTCATTAGTTTATATATATATATGTATCACCTGTGCCTACCACAGTTACTGCAAAACTGGAGCATTTGAGATAACCTACATTTAAGCTTTGCTCAGTGATGATACCAGTATAGTTCAAATAAGCTGCAATGCAGTTAATATCGCGGATAATATTTACGTGTTTCATGGTGATGTTACACCATATTTTGACGACCACGCATATACTCCACGAATAAGCAAATAATCGTCCCCGTGAAATTAACTAGCTATTTGGTAATTGCTTGCTGGGCATGATGAAATGAATACAAACATGTTACGAGGATTACACCCGGGATCTAGCCCCACCCCTTCGGACTTAGTCCTAAGATCATAGCTCAGGCACTGTATGGCTAGTCCCAGAGGCTGTTTCACCATATCACCATATGTTTTCATCATATAGAAATTGATCCCAATGTTTGCTTTAAAGCGTTCTTAGTCATAGAACCTCCAAATCAGTTCTCCATATCAATTGTCGTATAAAGAACGAGTGCACCTTTCCTCGGGGCTGAGGGTCAAGTGTTAATTGGTGTTCAAGTTTTCAAAAACCTACTCCTGACCAGGTGATCATATTTCAACACTTTTTTCTATGAAGCATCTTAAGGACCTTGGCCCAAATGTTTCAAATGTCAGTCAATGTACTAAGCTCTAGCAAGCAGCGAGAGATGATATGCCCGTCCATGTAATGTCATAAGCTAGCAAGAAGCCGAAAAAGGTTTCCATGATCCGAAAAAGGGTTTCCATGATCCGAAAAAGGTTTCCATGATCCGTCGTACCTTCATAAACTTTCCTTGAAGTGGTAGTAACGTAAACCCCATAATAGTCTTGCCATTATCCAGGACTGTAAGATAATATAAAATGTTTACGCGTCTTTTTTATACCAGATTCTTTTAAGGTAAACTTTAAACAGCCTCAGCAAGCATCAAGAAGACACTACAGTAAGTTGTAAAGCCTTATTTAGAAATATGTATCCGCCCAAAGATAAGGAAAAATAAAAAATTGAAAGGATACAGTAACAAGCGGTAAAAGTTGTCACGATTTATTTTATTTTATTATTTATCTGACCAGAGACTCCCTAACAGAAACAGTTAGTCAATTTGGAGGGTGTAGATGGACGTAGCAATAGCTCTTCCAGATGCAGTATCGTCCGTCTACTGATTGCGCGAGAAACTCCACTAGAAAGAAATTTACGATCCACCCCGTTTTCTCAGTTTCCGCCAGATCGTCATACTTGCTTTCTTCCTGGAAGCCCCCTTCCTATGGTATGGCGAGTTCTATGGCGAGAAAGTGCCTGACATGCAGACTGTAACACCAAATGAAACTAAGGAATGTATAGAACGAAGCAATTCAATTGAAAAGAGAATCTATCATTAAAATGAGAGGAAATTGCGTGAACAGCGAAGAATCTGGATGGAAAAAATATATAAAGATTAATTGCACGGAGGGGATCATCTACAGAAGGTGGTATATATTATGGATGGGAGAATATAAAATAATCATATTAAACTTAATGACTTAATTTGATACATATAGGATCTTACATGAGTTTCCATTTCATAAGAGGTTTATGAAACGAGGCTTAAGAGTTTTTCAAATTGAAAAATAATCGTGACGAGTTTCATAAATTTCATATAAAATGAAAACGAGTGTGAGACCTTTTTTTATCACATAATCAAGATTTGTGGCATTTATTCGTGTAAATCGACATTTTCATGCAACCTTGAAACAGTGCCTAAGTCTGTGACGTCATGTACTTGTCCTAGGCGTGACGTCACATTTGAAACAATTGAAACTAGCAACTAATCTCAGGGCTGATGGCCGGTCATATTACATGGGTTAATACGCAAACAAATATGATATTGATATATTCACTGACTAACACAATACATTTATTTCATTTTCATAGAGACAAATATCTTTTAGTCTAAAGCATGTCATCTTTTGATGTATAACAGAACTTTGAGATCAATTAATCAGTGCCTGGGCGGTGGTTGGGGTGCAAATGAAGATGTAATGTCATGGCTGTATAGAATACTATTTACTCCGATAGCGCTAGATACACCGACAAAAGGTCCGTATGCAGGCATTAAAATATGTGATGGTGTGATGGTTGGCGCTTTTAGAGTGTAATTTAGCTTTGAAATTTAGTCAAATTTGAGGTAGTTTATTTTTAGCTCCCCCCGCTTGGCGTCAACCTTTTTTCTTTAAACGACTTCTCCTCAATAACCAACATATATATACCTATAGTGAGCTGATATATATGACCAATAACATGCTCAAATGAAGGGCTAGAGCTACCAAGATTCTTCAAATGATTTTGGTTTTATTTTGTTTAACGTCCTTTTAAAGTCTTTAAAGGACGTTTTTTACAAATGAATGATTTTGACTCTCAAAGGTCAAATGAGTGAAAAAAAATTAACGGCTATTTTCATTAACCAAAATGCCTTCTCAGTAAGGATGGCGATATTTGTCTAAAAGCGTGCTGTGATAAAGGGCAAACCATTGTTCAAATAAATGACCTTGACCTTCTTTAAAACTGACATGGCCGCGTCAAATGTAAATGTGTTTAAATATGATATATCAGTAGCAAACTCCGGAACGAGGGGATACTCATTTGTTTAAACTAACGACTTTTTTAAGATTCAATATCATTTATTCAAACAAAGGGATTGACAACAGACACAGCCTATAATAAGTTACATCCCAATGACCTTTTCGACCAACTTTCATTGCCACAGTGATCAAATGTGTGAAAATCTCTTCCGTGATCAAAGTACACAATGGGTCAAATTCTATAGTCATTCCCTTACTTCATAGAAAAGTATTTGACAAATCAATAATAATTTTCTGGATCTATGAATTTAGCTTTGATAGTCATAAAAAAAGGCGTTTTGGTGAGAACATCATTGTACGGTAGACATTTGACAGATTTTGGCAGACCAATTGGAGTTACTCCCCTTACACAACAGAGGTGGCGTTAGTGTGCTGGCTATTTTTGCGCATGGATCTTGGAAGAAAACATTCAGCGACTGAATCGGGAACGGAAAAATAGATATATTTTGTCAGGGCCATAAAACACCACAAATATAACTCCACAATGGCCAGTGTTTCGTATCACATCGCAAATCTTTTGGAGAAGGTATGTGACAGTAAATGAGAGATGGTGTGATTTCATGCCGGTCAGCCGCCATCAAACTTTGGAAAGGGGGGGTGCTTTGCAAGAAAAAATGCATGTTTTGTTTTAACGAAATCAGTTAAAGTCTATTTCAAATACACATCCCCGTATATCTGTGAACAAATTATAATTTTGCTTCTACGCAAATGGTCTATTATATGGTTATAACAAGATGCGGGCATGTGTTCAGGACAGTGTGAATGGATGAACAAGGAACTCTCTTTAGACTCTTGCAAATAGTATTGGCCAGGACACGGCGGTGTGTTGATAAGATATATGATTGATGTTTTATTTATAAAGCAACGCATTGGCATCTTAGTGTGTATATATAATACATATTGAAACAAACTGAATAGCAGGTCAATGTGCTTTATTACTGTTTTAGCCTATAGATACATGTCCAGGTTCAGTTGCTTTGCTATGACTTCAGCAATGAAAATGAAATATGTCAGGTCATTTCGCCCCAAATCCCCGGGATATTTTGCCCAAAACATTCTTTGAGGGCGAAACTTTTTTTAAGGTCTGTTGAGTAATGTATGACTAATACAGTCTCATTTGAAGCTTGCCTTGTCTTCCTATGGCATTTTTGTCATTAGACTCGATAAAATTCTTCTACAAACTAGTGATAGTTTTGATAAAATAAACTTTTGAAAATGATTTCCGAATAAATAGTGTTGCAATGCACGTAAATCACGAAAATTTTGTTTTGGTAATTATTTTTAGTATTTCTTACATTTAAATTGTCCATGTAACGATAATCAGCAGCCAAAAAAGCATATATACAATTAAATTGCCACAAATGTATCATCAAGTGAAAAATGCATACATGACAGTGTCTTGGCCCGTTTTGCCACATGTGTCCCGTTTTGGGTACAGTGATGGTACATGTGGGATCAAATCTCCACAAAGCATACAGAAAAGCTCCGGCCAGTTTGAATACGAAGGCAGATAATTCGAACACACTTCTTAAACTATATAAACAATAAAAAAAATCTGCCTAGTGATAGTTCCTTACCATCATTTTGGATTGTTTAAGTACAAAATTCGAGTACTGAAACAATGGAATTATTGATTGCTTTTGGCTATTGGCGATGCAATAATAGTCTCGCGAAACTCGCTCAGCACATTATGCCAGTCATCTGTCTTTGGAACGGGGTGGAGTAGGCCATGCTTTGCAAAAATTGCATATTTTGTTTCAACGAAACCATTAAATCCTGTTTGAAGTACACATTTTTGTGATTCTGTGAACAAGTAATGATTTACCAGTTCCAGCACATGTGCATTCATATAGGACACACACATGGAGGCACATCCTTAACCCTTTCACCCCTAGGTAACTTGCGTAGACTCTACCATACATTTATCTGGATGAGTCCATTCTAGTCTACCGTGGTGAAAGGGTTAAATGACCTTGGCCCACTTGTATAAAACATCTCAAAGTTAAGGAAAATCTCAAGCAATGTATTGTCTATGGGAAATCTTAGACTTGAAGAAATCTCAAGAGTTGAGATGTTTTATACAAGTGGGCCCTTAGCTGTTAATAGGATGCTAAACTCAATAAAACTGTACCAAATCACACGCATCAGAATTACCAAACTTGTGTTAATGTTTCAACTTTGTCTTAGCTATTAATAGGATGCTAAACTCAATTAAACTGTACCAAATGACACGCATCAAAATGACCGAACTTGTGTTAATGTTTCCACTTTGTCACTACTCATCCACAGATGACCTCCAATGACAAAGATTTCCGGTTCATGGCCACCAACGACCTGATGACAGAGTTACAGAAGGACTCCATCAAACTGGACGACGACAGCGAAAGAAAAGTACGTCACAACAGCTTATACATATTAACAAATGTTCCAACCAAATTTTAGATTTGAGGGTATATTTGATACATTTTCGAGATTCTGTACCCCTAGGTACATAGTTACATAGGGCAATTGTTGATAACTGGGGGGACAACCTACTGTTTGGGGGTTAAAAACCCTCATTTGGGGTTTTCTGGGAACACTGATTAACTGTGTTTATCTGAATGTGAAGCAAAGTTATGTGATTTATTTTAAAAAATAAAGTAAAGGTATGTAATTAAAGTCAATGCTTTAATGACTTAAATTATAAAATATGTATGGAAAGAGATACCAAGTCGTCACTTGCCCTATACCTAGGTTTTCAATATTTAATATGAAAATATAGTTTTTGCTAGCAGAATTTAACAAACATTGCTTATACTTAAGGCCAAAATTAAAAAGGTGTCCGCTTAGGGTCCCCGACCGACCCTAGCTTTTTACCCCCGACCCAAAACGTTTTGATGAAAAAAAACCGCTTTCAAAATGGCTTCCAGCTCTGTGTTGGCGCTAAATGTCATCATAAGGAGCACAATTTGCCTCCAAATGAACCTTATTTATGTAATTCTTTGTTTTACATACAAAAGTAGGGTCATTTAAACAATAACTGGTTGTCTGGATGTAATTATTGTTGATATAATTACCAGTGGCCTCTGGCAAATCCTATAAAACCCGCTAGGGTTTTATGGTAGATTTGCTAGAGGCCACTTGTAATTATATCAACAATAATTACATCCAGACACCCACGTATATTTTATATTTACATATTTTTCTTTTTTAAGACATATTCCTACAAACACCATTTGCCCTGCCTCAAAATACATTTCAGGCGGCCATTTTGTTTGTTTACATATTCCTACACCTGAAACAGGCAGTTGTAATTATAGTCGAGCAGTTGTAATTATAGCCTATATAATTACACTTGCCCTCTAACACTATTGTAATGGGACGGCGCGGGGACATATGTAAATATAATCACATGACCAAAAATATAAAAAAAAAATCAAAAAAATCTGACCTACCTAACCTAGTTTTTTTGCCAATGCAACCCTAAACAGACTATATCTTTTTTTTGGCCTAATGGTATTTTACACACATCAATGTACCAACATATTTAGGTATATTCTGTTTCAATGTAGATTGATCGTAATCTTATTTTACCATATTTGCAGGTTGTAAGAATGCTGTTGAAACTTCTGGAAGACAAAAATGGAGAAGTTCAGAATTTGGCTGTAAAATGGTAGATACAAAAATGTATATGATATATATGTACCAAAAAAGATATTTTTTCCTAACAAATACCAAGTATATTCTAACATAATATGAAAGTTTTACGTTATACACAAACAATGAACATATTAAAAGTGTCATAACTTTTCAAGGCCGACTGGTTCCTTTGTCAAGCTATGACTGAGTGAGCGATTTGTATTGTTTATCAATGATGTGAAGAAATTGTATATTTCATATGTCACTCAACCCGGGACATTTCGCCTATTGATAGAGAGTGTCTGTATTGAATAGGTAACTGGTTGGGTGTAGATCTAGCCCCCTAGCCATAGCATGTACTTTGGTGATACATGATTTCAACTTTCATTAAAAAATCTATTATATTTTGTTAGTTGTATGTGACAACAAGATAATGATTTCCTAAGCTTTAGCTGTCAATAAGTTTTGAGATGATGTCAAATTTATGATAAAACAAAACAGAATTGAGCATCTGGGCCCATATTTACTAAACAGTTCTCATGCTCAGGCTCATGGATTCAGTGCTCAAACGAACTATGATGTAATTCGCTGAAGATATGTGACATGGTCAAAAATTAATAAAATTCTTCCAAATCATTGGCAAAATGTGACATTTTGTTGATTTATCTACGAATCTCTAAGAGTAAACAAGATTATGGTTTTCGTGAATACATGATATTTGTTAAAAAAATGAAGAACAGTATGTGAATTAATGTAAAAATGCGATGAATGTTTTTGTTTTTCAAGCCTCGGCCCTCTGGTGAACAAGGTGAAAGAGTTCCAGGTGGAGACCATCGTGGATACGCTGTGTAACAACATGATATCTACAAAGGAACAGCTCCGCGATATCTCCAGTATAGGTCTGTGTCTTTAGTCGCTAGCCAAATTGTCGTATCTCACAAGTCTTTCATTACATAACATGGACTCGTTAAGATAAAAGCATGGTAGATTCTACTAAATTGCATTGGGGGTGAAAGGGTTAATCTTGAATGAGGCCTATTCCGTCTTTTCATATTGCAGAGTTATCTGCTCTTGTGAGCAGGTATTGATTGTTACGTCATTTGTTTGTGTGAGAAAATTACGTCGTTTTCTCAAAAAATTATGACGTTTCTCTTGGAAACAAATGACATAACAATCAATACCTGCTCACAAGAGCAGATAACTCTGCAATACGAAAAGACGGAATAAAAATGATTTAAAGATTACAAATGCAATTATTGCATCATCTAGCTGATATCTTATTATGAAACAGTCAGTGACTGAATGTACATTGTCTTTAGTCTTTAATGAGGCCTATAAAAATGATTTCAAGATAACTAACACCATTTTTACATCATCTAGCAGATCTTTTATGACATGATTGTCTGAGACTGAATGCATAATGTCTTTAATAAGCCCTATACAAATGATTTCTATGAATAAAAATGTTAAGACAATGAATTCATGTTCAAAATAATAATTTCACATTTTAACACAGTATGTATCAAACACTTGGGAGCTCCGGTACAACTGTCAAAACTAACTATGAATTGGGCGTTTTCACTGACATAACGATAGCTTTCAAAAAAACCATGAAAAGCAACCAATATTTCGTGGAACATCTGAAACGATAAGAAGATTGAAATAAAAAATCTAAATACAACAATGTTCTAAGAGTGGTCAGACCGAAGTTCGAACCTTGGACCTCTGATCATGATATGTTCGCTCCGATCTATTAAGCTACCTACGATCTGCAGTAATTTCCTGTCCCAGTCTGACTCTTGTTACATCTAAAATGAAATGTTGAGGAGGTAACTGTAGGTATTGGAAAAACTACCATGTAACTCTCTAGTGCTTGTTTGCATTGGGATAAATTACTACAAATACATTCAAAAACAGGTTTATATATAGTTCTGATTTACAACAAAATAGTCTCTTGTTTGATTGTATGTCAAGTATATGATACATGTATCTAGGTTTGAAGACTGTCATCAGTGAATTGCCGCCATCCTCGACAGCCCTGGCCGCCAGTATTTGTAAGAAGATTACTGGACGACTGACTAGTGCTATCGCTAAGGTGAGGATTTTCTGGTGTTGTAAGAGTATGTTTCTAACTTTCAAGTGTGCTTTTATGTTTTTCAGAGGTTTTGCTTAAAATTTATACCCCCTCAATATTCCATGCGATAAAAACTCTGCATAGCTGTTGCCAGTATCAGTAACCCAGTAGCTATAAAAAAAAAGGAAAAATAATGATTCAATTAAAACATAACAAATTAAATGAGGCCTTCCTGAACTGTTCTCACCTTAATACTTCACACAGCCACTCCCCTATACATGTGTCATCTTGGCACATCATGCAGTCACAGCTGTTGTTAGTTAGGATGAATAGTTAATGTAACAGATTTGAGTTACTGGTAGTATGCAAGAAAAGATTCCATTCCTGATGTGGGTTATGGCTATATAAGGTCATACAAACCATCAGGATTGAATATTTAGCCAAAATTCTTCACAAGCCTGTGGTCTAGCTCCTCAATGTATATCTACTGTATACCCTATACCTTTCGCCCTATGTCGGTAAAATCCACATCCTCAGTGTTAATTTTGCCTTTGATGAATATGTCTAGTAAATTGTATACTAATGTTCGTGATGATAAATTAAACCACAAAATGTAAGGCGAAAAAACCCAATTACACTGTGGCTAAAAATTCCTGGTATATTTGATTTGATTGATCTTATTATCCTTATACACAACATTTCATTTACATTACACTCTCAAGCCACCAAATGCAAGACAAGCTAAGATATGTACTTAAAAGAGCTATGGCAGAAAACTGCCCATATTTCCCCAAGTTGGCAATTATGAATACTAGGGGTTGTTTCTGTTAGTACATTCACTTTTAATGGGGGATTTAACCCTTTACCTACTTTGACAATACTTTAAACCCTTTCACCCCTATGTAACTTTTGAAGACTCATTGTGTGAAAGGAGGTAAAAAATATCAATGTAGTACCTCTTTATACTACATTTGCTTCTTATATCACTGCCATCATATTACTAGGTCTCCTTTTGCGGTTTCAATACCTTTCCTTTATAGATCTTCTGTGATATATTGCCCAATTTTTCCCTACAATGCCACAATATTGAATTGCCTGACAAAGTTTTGAACATCTATTTTCGCTTTTTGAATAGGGATAAGCAATTGCTTCATAATAGAACTCAATTAACATAAAATATGCCATTTTCAATCAAACCACTGGGCTTGAGTTATCCCTGTTCAAAAAGCAAAAACAGATGTTAGCCACACATACGTTATTAACTAGAAAATATCAGTTAATAATTTCTGATTTAATTTGGATAATGACTTTCTTCTAATACAGCAAGAAGATATGTCAGTACAGTTGGAGGCTTTAGACATACTGGGAGACTTGCTGAGTCGGTTTGGAGGTAGGTACAGTCAGAAACCGTAGGCATACTAGGTAATAATAAAGATAGGAAATCATAATGAAAAGTTGTAAGAATTAATTAAGGGATACCGCAGATGTGAATATAAAAGGGCAACGAGGTGTTTATATTTGAATGCTGGAGTTCTTAGAATAAATGGCTTTTCCCCTGATCCCTCTCCTGCCCTCCCCCCTTCCCTAATAAATTAAGTCTGTATCCAGTCAGTTTAATAGTAATAATAATAATCAAGGTTCTTATATGACAAATTATTATCTGTGATTATAGAGCCATTGCAACCAGCCAATATCTTTCTCAACTCCCTGGGGAGCATACAGCTGGTGCTGGCATTTCGGCACTCATATCTAGCATTCCTTAAAAACTAATTAATTCAATAAAAGTTTATGAACTGTCATGTTTTACTTTTTTTTTTATGAGAAAGAAATCAGAATTACAACAATTTGAGTATGCATGTATTATTAGGATTGATATATCTCTGGAAACACCAGGTTCCAAAAGTCCAGTTCCATGAAAAACAGCTTTTTTGATAATAATAATAATAATTTGAGGTTCTCATATACCGCTTTATCACAACCTAGTTCATAGGTCGTCTCAAAGAGATTCACAAATTATTGTCCATGGTAATAGGGCCTTTGCAACCAACCAATATCTCTCTCAACTCCCTTGGGAGCATACAGTTGGAGCTGCCATTTGGTTGCTCACAGCTAGCATTCAACAATTCTAACACTACCCAACCAGGTACTCAATTACAGCTGAGTAGACTGGAACAAGCAGAGTTAAGGATCTTGCTCAAAGATACAACAAAGTGCCATACCGTGACTCGAACCCGCAACCCTTCGGTCACGGGCCCGGCGTCCTACCACTAGACCACTGTGCTTCCTCTTTAAAAAACAATTAATAGTACTATCTGTGTGTAATGTGTTTGATATAACATACAGTATGAACCTGGTGACCTCAATTTCACCGTAGGCATGTTTTTATTCTGAGTTTGTTATGAGGAGCAGACTTGTCAACTTTTTGAAACTTCCATAGGGGAGATTATGTTTGCTTAGAATTAAAACCATAAATAAAATGTGTGTATGCACACCCTAGGAAAAACATAACACTTTTAAATGGTATTGTTTGAGCTGTTCTTTCAGGTGAAATCATCAGATCTTAGGAAATAGGAATAGTTATAGTAACTCACTGGTCGAAAATGCTCAATTTTAGGGTTCAAAATTGAGTTTCTCCCTTCAAAATAGTGTGAGTTGGCAAGTGTGGAGGAGAGATATGTGGCTTATTTTTGTATAGTGTTCAGTTCTGTTGTGTGTTGCATTTACAGATGTGTCATTATTGATTGTTCCAGGTCTTCTCATCAGCTTCCATCCCAGTATAATGCAGTCACTCCTACCACAGCTGTCAAGCCCGCGTCTGGCGGTGAGGAAACGCGCCATCATCGCCATCGGTAATTTATCACACAATGAGTCCATTCTAGGCACAGATCAGATGTCGTGGATAGATTTTGGAATAGAACATCAGAGGTCAAGTTCTTGTTAGATACCATTGTGAATAGAAGATTATGGTTGAACAGTTGGGTTAATTCTACCATACTCACATGCATTATCTTTCAGGATGAATCGGGTAATGATTACTTGTAGGCTGAACCAATATGAATTTCTGATATTGGAAATAGCACTTAAATGGACCTATAGTGTTTCTGTTCGTCGGTCAGACTGTCTCTGTCCGTCCACATTTCTGGAGATTATCTCTGAATTCAAAAGTCTGGACTATGACATGGTGATACACTGATATCTAGTTATACAAAAGGGGTTTAAAAGTTTCCAATGTCAAGGTTAAGATCACTTTCTAAAAATAGACGGTGGGGAGGGTAACAGTCAGGCACAATGCAGGGCCCTGGCTCACCTGTAAGTGTTCTAATTTCTGGATAAGTGATGTTGGCAGGTCAATCTGATAAGGTGCTTTCAACTCTGATAGAAATATACCATTTCATATTTGATCAGTGGCAGGTTATTTAAACACTATTTGTGAATAAGCATATACCACGTAGCCATCTATTACAACTTAACAAAAGAACCCTGACACGTGGGATTTTAGGAGAAAATTGTGTAACAGTTCGAATATGTTCTTTGTTGACAGGTTATCTGGTGATGAGTTGTAACAATCCGCTGTTCCTTGAGCTGATCGAGTTCTTACTCACAGAGCTGAACAAAAATGACACCACCTCTACCACAAGGACTTACATACAATGTATAGGTACCATCAGGTAATACAACAATGACTGGACTTACAATGCATAGACACCATCAGGTAATGGGACAGGTCCTCAAGCAATGTTCCTTGATCGATTCATTTTTCATCCTCGAAATTCCAGCGATTATGCTCCCTTTCATTCTTAACACCCCTGGAATATGCCATGGTAAAGTTGAAGACACAAGTTAGCCAGTTGATTGGTTTTCTGGTAAAAGAAATACCAATTGCTTGGCTGATACCTGTCTTTGATTTGTTCTAGGATTTTGTTTATGATATACATTGCTTTGTATAGATACAGTAAAACCTGGAGGGACAGGCTGATAAGTAACTAGACTTGATGGTTTTGTATAAAGGCGATCCTAGCCCTCAGCTTTGGTGCGTGTCTATAACGAATGTTACGTTTTGTTGTAGTCGACAGGCGGGACACAGATTTGGGGAACACCTACAGAAGATGGTGCCACCAATTGTCAAGTTTTGTAAAGAAGAAGACGATGAACTGCGAGAGTACTGTCTACAGGCCTTTGAGTCATTCGTGAGGCGTTGTCCCAAGGAGATTTCACCGTTTGTCACAGAGGTAAGGCACTGTAACTGGATGTGATAATAACATGAAGTAAATTGCATTAGCACAAAATTTATGTTCTTTAGTTTGGCTCAATCTTTGTGTAGCTTGGTCAATATGACTAACTTTGAGAAACACCATATGGGTTATATTGGCACTGTAACTGGTTGTGATAATAACATGAAGTAAATTGCATTAGCACAAAATTTATGTTCTTTAGTTTGGCTCAATCTTTGTATAGCTTGGTCAATATGACTAACTTTGAGAAACACCATATGGGTTATATTGTCACTGTAACTGGTTGTGATAATAACATGAAGTAAATTGCATTAGCACAAAATTTATGTTCTTTAGTTTGGCTCAATCTTTGTATAGCTTGGTCAATATGACTAACTTTGAGAAACACCATATAGGTTATATTTTGGAAGATGCACAGTTATAACTCATTTACCCCTGAAGACACATTTGAACACCTTCCAATTCAAAGGTTGGAATAGTTCATTATGAAACTTCAGGGGTCAATGAGTTAACTTGTAGAGCTTTTACTTTTTTAGAGATACATAGTCAATGATAAAAAACACACCAAAAAACAGGACCATAATATGGACCATTTTCCAGTTTACAGCGACTGAAGTGGGGTCAGTTCTTATAAATCTGTTAAATTTTGTAAAATTCTTATGAGCCATTACAATTTTGAATGATGTAGGGTCCATGGCCTCTACCTTTCCTAACCCCTACACAGTTTAACCGTCGACATTTATTGGAAATTAACCTTTAACTCATAGAAGTATTAAAAAGTACAGGAAACACTTCTGTGGTTGTAGATCATTAAGATCTGTCTGCGGTACATTTGCCACGATCCCAACTATAACTATGACGACGACGATGACGGTGATGCTATGGAAATGGAGGAGGAAGAAGAAGAAGAGTAAGTCAGGAAAAATACAATATATTTGTACTATCGCTTGGCTTAAGTCAAGCAAAAATATTGCTTCCTGTTTCGACTTTTAAGAAAAGTGATAGATAGGTAGGGAAACATTTCCTGTATTTTTTTCGTCAATTTAATTGTTATTTCTCACATGTTTGTTATGTATTATAGCATGTTATGATTGAGATTAATAGAAATCTATTAATTAGGCATATTAATTAGGGCCCCGTATCGGAGATACGGGTGCCCTATAGTAATCAGTCTGTCTGTCTGTCTGTCCGTCCACAAATTTTGTTCCTGGCTGATACCTTGGTATTTATTGACCGATGTACATGAAACTTGGTCAAGATGTTCAGTTCACAAAAATACACATTGTGGTAAAAAGTCAAGGTCAAAGGTCAAGGTCATTAGGTTCAAAGGTCAATGTCAAATTTTACATCTTTTCACTGATGAACATTTTGTTATGATATTAAGAAGCAAAGTTGGTCAGAATTAAAGAATAAGTCAACTGACCAAAAAACAGGGTCACTGGGTTAATGGTCAATGTCATTTGGGTCCAAAGGTCAAAGACAAAGTGGATCTCTGACTTTGACGCTGGCTCTTGATGGAGGAGGTATGTAAGGTGAAATAAAACAAATCAAAGCTAACAAATGAGTATCGCAACGTTATTTACATTTCTGTTAGCCCAGCAAATATGGAGGTGGAAGGGAACAAGACTCGCATCATAGTACATGTAATATGTATATTTTGCTTCCTTGGGATTCTTTTTGAAGTCCAAATGTCAAACGTCAAGCTCAGCTATATGGGAAGATTGCTTCTTGATGATTATGGGGGATATATCGCCACAAGACGGGGCCCTTACTGAGCTGTCAGTGTTCTAGTTTGTCTTGATAATTATGGGGGATATATTGCCACAAGACGGGGCCCTTACTGAGCTGTCAGTGTTCTAGTTTGTCTTGATAATTATGGGGGATATATTGCCACAAGACGGGGCCCTTACTGAGCTGTCAGTGTTCTAGTTTGTCTTGATAATTATGGGGGATATATTGCCACAAGACGGGGCCCTTACTGACCTGTCAGTGTTCTAGTTTGTCTTGATAATTATGGGGGATATATTGCCACAAGACGGGGCCCTTACTGAGCTGTCAGTGTTCTAGTTTGTCTTGATAATTATGGGGGATATATTGCCACAAGACGGGGCCCTTACTGACCTGTCAGTGTTCTAGTTTGTCTTGATGATTATGGGGGATATATTGCCACAAGACGGGGCCCTTACTGAGCTGTCAGTGTTCTAGTTCCATTTGAAAATTCATGGATCCGTTGTGTTCACAGGACAAGTAACTGTTCTGTGTACCCTGAAGTTTTGCCCAGTCAAACTTTCACCCTTCGCCAAAATAATCCATATTCGCCCAGTGGGAATTTTGCCCTTCCCATTTAGTTGCTATGCGTAATATGTTGTTGACGAAAAATGCCAAAATTAAGCTGTAGCAAATATATCTCTGTATGCAGTAGTCCCCTGAACATAATTTACAATGACATTACAGTGACGACGAAGAGGAGTACAGTGATGATGACGACATGAGCTGGAAGGTGCGACGGGCTGCAGCCAAATGTCTTGACGCCATTATTGGCACACGACACGAAATGTTGGTGGAATTCTACAGAACAGTGTCACCAGCTCTCATAGCCAGATTTAAAGGTAAATATGATTATTTTCACTATTTCAGAATCAAAGGAAGAAATTGCGAAGAGGCTACCCAACCCTAGAGTAAAATGTGGATGCTATACATAGATATCAGGAAACGTTTGTCCAGTCAAACTTTCGTCCTGCGTCAGTAAAATCCATTCTTGCTCAGTGTTAACTTCGCCCTTCGTATTTGATTACTATGTTTATAAGGGTTGTTTACTAATGTATGCTGGCTGTAATGACCAATGTCGCAATTTGCGAAAAATACATTTTTAATCGACGAGTTTGGCAATTTGTTTGGCTACAAAAAGATCATCGGTTGTTTGGTGAAAATTTGATAAAAAATTGTGTCATATGTTGTCATGTTATTGTGATAATAACAACGAACCTGCAGGATTTTATGATTTGACGCAAAAATTTCAAAATCTGGGCCGTGTTCGTTTATCACAGTCTAAACCGTTGAACCGGTTGGACTGCTGTTGTTACTGCTTTTGTTACTGCTTTCAGGCAGGCTTGCATACAATTTTGCAGGTCCCTCCGATTTTATACCCAAAAATGTTACATTTAAAAACTGGCGTACCTGTTGTTCCGCATAAATGATTAGGCCCCTGGTGTGAATCCTGTGATAAGGTCATCCTCATTACATATATGGCAAATAGGGGAAAGTTGAACTACGGCAAAACAAATCTCAGTATACTGTGTGTCAATATAGTTATATGTTTTGTTTATTATAGAGAGAGAAGAGAATGTAAAGGCTGACATTTTCCATGCCTACATCACATTGTTAAGACAGACTCGTCCAAACATCACTTCAGACCCAGATGCAATGGATCAGGATGGCGGGTATATCTTTTTACACTTCCCTCAAATGAAAAAAAGATCTATTTTGAAAGTCTGAGTAGTTTAAAAAATGTTGTACACAAATTTTTCACCTGCAAAATTATTATCGTTTTTGTTGAAGTACAAGTATAATTGTTTTATTAAAAAAAGATTATATGTTGTTGATTGTATTGCAAATTCAAATCCTGGCAAATATGTACAAATGTAAAAAATCTTATCTCCAAAAGAAGTAATGAGTGTGGTTGGTGTTACAGACCACTGTGTCAGCTACAGGGACAGATACCTGACATCGTGAAAGCCATACACAAACAGCTGAAAGAGAAAAGTGTCAAGACTAGGCAAGGCTGCTTCAGTCTCCTCACAGAGCTAGTCCTGGTACTACCAGGGGCCCTGACGGACCACCTCCAGGCTCTGGTACCAGGCATCCAGTACTCCCTGGGGTAGGTATATTGTAGAACGTACACACATTAGGGAATATTCTCTTCTCTTACCCTGGACAGGTGAACCCACACTTTTACCTGTGTGAGATTTCCATGGGGGGGGGGGGATTCCCCTATTCATAACAATGGTATGACGTCACTTCAACAATACAATGACGTCACGTCAACAATCCATCAATGCCACGTCAACCCTGAATTTAGTATGTAACGTTATCATTACATTGTGTATATGATACACATTGGGAGAACAGGGTAAGAGAAAAAGAATCATTCACCCGTTTGTGGGTAAGATAGGGGAATCTCAACCCTCGGGGAAAGATTCTGAAGTTGCCAAACACTTAGCAAAGCCTCATGTTTGGCAACATAAGAATCGTCCCCTCGGGTTGAGATTCCCCTATCTCACCCCAAAGGGGTTGAGAGATTCTATTATTCTTCAAATTGCAGGTAGGAGTTGTAAGTATTTGCATTGTATTGGTTGGAGCATTTCTGTAAAACTTACATTTTTGTAACAGTCACAACCTTATGTCAAGGTGTTTAGTTACACTGACCCCTTTCACTGATGAGTCCCTGTTAAAATGGATAAAAATAGTCTTCCTCATTATGATGAATTCCTGTTAACAGGGATTAAAAAAGCTTCCTTCCTGACGACGGAATCCTTCCTGACGACGGAATCCTTCCGAGCAAGGATCTCATATGCTGCACAAATTAATTTGGGCCTTATTACTTCGGTATAGGGAGAGCTGTAGCATAGGGGTCGTTCCTCAGCCTAGCTGCTTCCTGGCACCCCGTAAACTCAACATGAACTAGAATCGACCTTAGGCACAGCTCTGTTCCGCCGTGGGCTCCACCGGAATTACGACATACACCACAGGCGCTTCCACACAATTCATACAGCCATATAGTCAATAGACTGTCAATCTATCTTATTTGCCATATATGGACACTATTAATAATGCATGCAAGTTTTCGGCCGGGCCTACGCCACTTCATCAAGATTTCAAAATTCAAAATTCGAGGATAGGTTATGTGTAGTGTCTGTGAGTACCCTTATGTTGCCAAACATTGTTGTATGAAAATCCTGATATTTGTTGTGTACAGGGACAAGAATTCGAGCTCCAACATGAAGATTGATACGCTGTCTTTCCTCAACTGTATTCTGTCTCACCATAATCCGGTCGTGTTTCACGCACACATCAAAGTCCTAGTGCCAGTAAGTTAATTTATAGTTTCTAAATACCTGGAAACTTTCACGCAGTTCAATTATTGCCCTTCACAGGTAAAATCTATATTTGTCCAGTGTTCATTTTGCATTTCACATGTATTTTCATTATATATAGTATTATGTGTAGTATATATTTGATGCATGATAAATTCACAATTCTTTATGGAAGACAAAAAAGGCAAATGTTAAAACTGTGGTGAAAAGTTTCTGGTATACAGTAAATCAACTCCTCAGGATAGTAAACCATGAAAATTAAAAATAATAATAATTTATATATCTATGTATATTTTTTTTGGTATTAAAAAATTAGTAGGAAAAGCATTAATTTAGCTTAAGACTGTTGTGAGCTTATAAATCTGAAATAGAGGGGAATATTTATAACTAAGAGACTCATGTGTAAACTTTCACAGCCTGTAGTCCATTCTGTGGCTGATCCCTTCTACAAAATTACCTCCGAGGCACTACTGGTCACTCAGCAGCTGGTCAAGGTTATTCGACCCCTAGGTAAGTCACACTAATTTTCATATGTCAGACTGTACATATAGACTTGTATTGGTCACACTGTATTTAACAAAGGAAATCACCTTATTTAGTTCCAAGTTTAGCTGTGCATCTATCATGTGTATAGTACACCATTCAGTTCTTCACACATCATTTTGTGCGCCTCATCTATGTCAGTTTATTGCTTAAATGGCGTCACAGTTAATGTACAAAATACGATGTCAGTGCATTCACTGTTCAACATGGTAGTCATGTGATAACACATGTTAGGACCATGTTCCCATAACACTCTCATACAACACAAATTGTAAATGGGTAGATTGGACTGAGTGGCCAACATTTTTTAAGACTCCTCGTCTAAAAGTGAACATTTTGAATGATTCCTGTTAAAACTTTTTTAAAAACATTTGTGATTTATTTGACTGTGACACTGAGGCATTAGATTGATAGAAATTGTTCCTGCACTCTTTTTGTCACGCGGTGCCAAAGTAGCAGAAGCGAGACTAAGGTGTTGCTTTCGTGGTGGCGGCGTCAACATTAAGTTTTTTGCGTTTAAGTTAGTTTCAGTGAAAGTATCAGTGCTAGACCAAGCAAACTTGGACCATAGACGCATCTTAGGTAGTACATCTCAACCCACGCATCAAAGGCTGGATGCGGCCTACCTTCCATGGTCCATTGATTTTGTCAGCATCTCCATTAACATTAAGTTTTTGCATTTAAGTTAGTTTCGCTGATATGTGCATTGATAGTCAAAATGGGGCACAGGCGAGACACATCAATTCGAATGGCTTGTGTGATACTCATGGCAACTGTTTTCAGACCCTCATGCTACACATTGAGGTATTTGTTATCTTTTTCTGAAGCACCTAAATGACCCAGCTTACGTGGTGTTGTAGAAGTTCCAGTGAAGTTTGACTACAAGCCGTACGTGAAGGACCTGTACTCTTGTACTCTGGCCAGACTCAAGGCAGCCGACATTGACCAGGAAGTCAAAGAAAGAGCTATATCCTGCATGTATGTATGTTCAATACCATGTAGTAGGTTGTATGGTCAATGTATCATTAGGTCTTATGGTCAGTGTATCATTAGGTGGTATGGTCAGTGTATCATTACGTGGTATGGTCAGTGTATCATTACATGGTATGGTCAGTGTATCATTCGGTCATATAGTCAGTGTATCATTAGGTCGTACGGTCAGTGTATCATTAGGTTGTATGGTCAGTGTATCATCAGGTCATATAGTCAGTGTATCATTAGGTCATAAGGTCAGTGTATCATTAGGTTATATGGTCAGTGTATCATTATGTCGTATGGTCAATGTATCATTAGGCCGTATGGTCAGTGTATCATCAGGTCATATAGTCAGTGTATCATTAGGTTGTATGGTCAGTGTATCATTAGGTCATATAGTCAGTGTATCATTAGGTCATATGGTCAGTGTAACATTAGGTCGTATGGTCAGTGTATCATTAGGTCGTATGGTCAATGTATCATTAGGTCGTATGGTCAGTGTATCATTAGGTTGTATGGTCAGTGCATCAGGTCATATGGTCAGTGTATCATTAGGTCGTATGGTCAATGTATCATTGGGTCGTATGGTCAGTGTATCATTAGCTCGTATGGTCAATGTATCATTAGGTTGTATGGTCAGTGCATCAGGTCATATGGTCAGTGCATCATTAGGTCGTATGGTCAGTGTATCATCAGGTTGTATGGTCAGTGCATCAGGTCATATGGTCAGTGTATCATTAGGTCGTTTGGTTGGTGTATCATTAGGTCGTATGGTCAATGTATCATTAGGTTGTATGGTCAGTGTATCATTAGCTCGTATGGTCAATGTATCATTAGGTTGTATGGTCAGTGTATCATTAGGTCGTATGGTCAGTGTATCATTAGGTCGTATGGTCAGTATATAATATTATCTAGGTTACTTTCTTTCTCCCGTTTGAAACAGTTCAGGTGGCGCAGAAGTATTCAGTAATGAACAAACACACTTTGTCTGGAAGTTGGCTGTCCTTGTTTCATAAGCACAGCTCAAAATGCAAAGTTTGAGAGTTTCGTGACAAATGAATTACAACAAATCAAGAATAATTTGTGCTTCTTTCATGCATTACTCAAGTTTATAACATGTTCTGAAACATATCTGAGCATCAGCAAACTAGCCTTAGCCAGCATTTTAGTTTCGATCAGGCATGTCTGGACCCCTCCATATACACATGCAATTTTTTTTAGAGGTCAGTCTTTGTTCAGATCTGTGTCTGTTGTTTGGTTTCCTGTTCAGCCAGTTGATTGGTTGGACCGGCTACGCGAAAGCTCCCAATCTAGGTTGTATGGTCCTTTTATCTGGAAGGTTGTTTCAATTGACGATAAGTGAATGAAACGCTGTAATATGTAAAAATCAAGTACTATGATCCTTTGATCTTTTTCAGGGGCCAGATAATTCGTAACCTTGGAGATAGTCTGTCAGCGGAGCTGAAAGAGTGCTTACCAATTTTCTTGGAAAGATTGAAGAATGAAATAACAAGACTAACTGCAGTGAAAGCCCTCACTATGATAGCTGGGTAGGTGGTGCAGGTCATCAGCATACTACCGAGTTGCCCATCATTTTATGAGGGATTTCATTCCATTAATCTCACAAAGTAAAACAATTTGTGTATTCAAGCACTTCATCATTGTTCTGAATTTTGGGAAGAAAGATGAAAAAGCAATAATACCCTGATGTTGAAGCTGATGCTGAACGTCAATGTCAGATCATCTGCATGCTCTCGGTCTTTATGTGAAGGATAAAAAAAATGATATGGTCAACAAATATACATAATAAACAGAAACAGATGAAATCAGTTCCTTTGATTTCTTTTTTAATTTTACATTGATTAATTAAGCATAGTTTATAAATTTTATTGGAATTTCTATACTTTGACCATGTTCATGTTTAACTGACTACAATACAATATATATGATATATTTCAGGTCTCCATTGAATATAGATCTACGCCCTATATTGGTAAGCTTGTTAGTATGGGAAGTTCTATGCTAGTGATATTGACTGGTTTCTTTGACAGTAAGACCTCAATACAATGCCCTCATTTGTCACTAAGCATTTAAATCTTGTTATATACTTATTATAATGCCCCCATATTTCATTGACTAAATCACTTACTATGAACACATTCTCCCTCAATTTATTATCAAACCCCATTATAACACTAAGGCCGTTTTTTAAACAGTCAAACCGGTCAGACCACTGTTGTTCGTTTATTAAATAAGGTCGGACCTAGTAATCTGATGCTGCTTTCAGGTGAGCCTTCACAAAACCTGGCAAGGCCTGTATACACAGTTGCAGGTTCGCCAGGGTTTATACCCGAAATTGTTACATTTATAAACGGTCAAACCGGTTGTTCCGCATAAATGAACAGGCTTTAATGTTGTGCTCGGAAAAATTGACAATACAACGAGGCTTGATTGTATACAGTACTTTTTTGTTACCAAAATAAATGGGAGTTTCTCTTAACGATTTAAAGTGAAAAGAAACATATTTGCAATAATTGAAAGGTTTAAATACATACAACGATTGTGTGGGGATACATTTCCCTTTAATATTTTCTATAGGACGAAGGCATACCAATTTTAGCCTCCTTTCTGAGGAAGAACCAGAGAGCTCTGAAGTTGAGCACATTAACGTGTCTGGATGTCCTGGGGAAGAATTATGGTAAGTTTTTGTTATAGAATAACCTCAACCATAGTCATTGAGTTCTCAGAAGATAACTTCAGTTTTGTGAGAAAGTCATTTTCACCTAAGTTTTTAGAGGAATTTTATTTTCGATTTTGTGAAGGTAATTTTTGTATCCTATATTTTACATTATGCCAATCCTTCTACTTAATCAGTATAGGATGTTTTTAAATGGGGTGTTTTTTAATTTGTTATTCATGTACCTTAATAAACACACAATCCTTATGTCAGGTTTTCAAAGAATTTACACTGAAGCGCTAATGCAGATTTCACAATGAAAGTGTTCACCTAAAACGTTTAAGAGGTGAAATGTATCTTTCCAGGAGCTGCCTTGACAACAGGAATGATCTACGAAATGATGAAGGAAATGCCACCTTTAATAAGTGAAAATGATCTTCATGTGTCACAGGTAAATATGGATCTCTGTGTGTCACAGGTTAATATGGATCTCTGTGTGTCACAGGTAAATACGAAACCCTGTGTGTCAGGTAAATAGGGATCTCTGTGTCACAGGTAAATAGGGATCTGTGTGTGTCATAGGTAAATATGAATCCCTGTGTGTCACAGGTAAATAGGGATCTCTTTATGTCACAGGTCAATACGAATCCCTGTGTGTCACAGGTAAATAAGGATCTCTGTGTGTCCTAGGTAAATACGAATCCCTGTGTGTCAAAGATAAATAGGGATCTTTGTGTGTCATAGGTAAATACGAATCCCTGTGTGTCACAGGTAAATAGGGATCCCTGTGTGTCACAGGTAAATATGAATCCCTGTGTGTCACAGGTAAATATGAATCCCTGTGTGTCACAGGTAAATATGAATCCCTGTGTGTCACAGGTAAATATGAATCCCTGTGTGTCACAGGTAAATATGAATCCCTGTGTGTCACAGGTAAATATGAATCCCTGTGTGTCACAGGTAAATATGAATCCCTGTGTGTCACAGGTAAATATGAATCCCTGTGTGTCACAGGTAAATATGGATCTTGTGTCTTTATAGAATTTGAGAATTTATTGAGTATCATAAACATGACCATCAACCATCACTCCTAGGGGAACCTCTATGTGTAAGGTAGAGTTGTGGAGTCGCACAACCTTTTACGATGTGTACAAGACGAATATCTGTGGAATAATAGCTTGCACACAACAGTACGGTAGCTATGACAATGTTGTGCGATAGGTATATTGGTTAATTGTGGTAAATAGGGAAAACAGTCTCCATATAATTATGTCACAAAGCATAATCAAGAAACTTGATTTCCCTAACTTCTTTTCTCCATTTGAAAAATGTATTACAATAATTTGCATTCTTTTACCTGAATATGTTTGTTACGATGTATATATACAGTTGTTGCCATGTGATATTTATGCTTGTGTAGACAAGTAACATTAATATTTTCTTAGACTTTAGATAATGTGTTCTTGTATATAATCATACAATATGTTTATCTAATATCAAAGTTTTAATTTATACACAAACAATGTACGTAATAAATGTGTCGCTATGTTTCAAGTCCGACCGGTCCCTTTGTCAAGCTATAACTCCAACATGTATATTTGCACCACTATAAGATATGTCACCTTGTTTTGTTCCCAGCTGACGTTGCACCTGTTGACATCTATATCAAAGATCCACAAATCTTGTATGGCGACCATTCCTAATGAGATTCTACCACAGATCCTGCTGCTGATTCAGTCACCATTACTTCAGGGTGGCGCACTAGGCTCCCTCCTCGAGTTCTTCCAGGCACTGGTGGCCACAGGGCTTCCAAAACTTGGCTTCAAAGACTTACTCCAGGTAAACTCAATCGCTATAATTAGAAGTACCACTGCCTGTAACTAACCAAGTGTTGGAAACTTTTTTCTGGCATGACTATAGCTTTGATAAATCATTTCTGATAAGAAAATCATAACTTGTGGGACTTCTAGTGACGATAATAGAGATAAAATCAACAAAGATAATCAACAAATGTTATGAGTGTAAAACATTCTGTGTGGCCAGACCAGGATTCGAACCCGGAACCTGAGATTGTTATACTGTTGCTCTAACAGAATGAGCTACCTCGTCTACAGAGAAGTGTACTGGCCGAAATGTGCTACAGTTTTCTCCAAAACAGAAGTTAAGGGGAGGTTACTGTATATACTGTATATATGTAAAACCTGAGTGCAGTGGGACAAGGATCCTTAATACCCGTAAATGTGTTCAGCAGGCTTATGTTAGACTTATCATAATAACTGTTTACTGAGCTTATACTACTAGAGGTAAAATTGATCAGAAATAAAAGCCAAATTAAAGTTATTACAGTTTCATGATTAATTTAGCAGAAAAAAATGTTTGAGCCCCTTGGTTGATGTATAATGGATAACTGTCTTTTATTATTTGGTGTTATATAATTAAGAGACAAGTGTAGATTTTGTTTGTGATTTACAGATGCTGATTCGCCCAGTATACAACCCACCCAGTGCCCAGTCTAGTAACGCATTTGCTGTCCACAAACAGGTAATTTGTCTTTAACGCCCGGGGCCGCGGTGGCCAAGTAGTTAAGGCGTCTGACATTCGGCTACCACTAGCCCTCCACTACCAAAAGCTGGCACGTCCTTAAATGACTATAGCTGTTAATAGGATGTAAAACACAAACAAACCAAATTTAAGTGCCCTGTCAATAACGGGTAATATATGTAATATGTAATATATGTAATATAGGTCACAAACAAGTATTATATTATTTGTTCTTATTTTTCTGCAATACTTAATGAAAATTTATTAAATGTTCATCGCAGCAATACTTTCCCTTGCAGGCATTCCATTCCATAGCCAAATGCATGGCAGCCCTGACTGTAAAGAGTCCGTCACAGGCCAACAACGTCGTCAACCAGTTTGTTAGTGATGTTTGTGTAAGTAGGCCCTGTAAACAACCCTGGCATCTCCTACATGTACAAAATTTCTTGGGCCTGTTTGTTTATGTTGAACAACAGGTTTGTCTGTTTTTACAAGAAACATTTTCAGGTGTACGGACGGACCTGCAAATGATTATGCAGGCCTTGCAAGGCTTTGTCTAGGCTCGCCTGAAAGCATCATCAGATTACTAGGTCCGGCCATATTTCATAAACGAACAACTGGTCCAACAGGTTCAACCATTTGGTCGCGATAAATGAAAGCAGCCTTTGTTATTGACTTACAGGACACTGTTGTTCTTCAGGCACATAAAAACGATGATAGAGAAAAGGCAGTATTTGTATTAAACTATGATAGTATTCACATTGATTATTTTTATGTTTGTGAACATATTAATATTTTTTTTATCTTTTTTTTTCAGAATGCCAAATCATCTGATTCTGTCAAATTATTTGCTTTATTAGCTTTAGGAGAAATAGGAAAACACATGTGAGTAAATCTTTTCTGTGTCATTTCATTTCTGTACATGGGTAGTGTACTCATTTGTACCTGTACTAGGTTTGTGTACTCATTTGTACATGTACTAGATTTGTTGACTCATTTGTACCTGTACTAGATTTATTGACTCATTTGTATCTTTACGAGGTATGTTGACTCATTTGTACCTGTACTAGATTTATTGACTCATTTGTATCTTTACGAGGTATGTTGACTCATTTGTACCTGTACTAGGTTTGTGTACTCATTTGTATCTATACTAGGTTTGTGTACTCATTTGTACATGTGCTAGATTTGTTGACTCATTTGTACCTGTACTAGGTTTATTGACTCATTTGTACCTGTACTAGGTTTATTGACTCATTTGTACCTGTACTAGGTTTGTGTACTCATTTGTACATGTACTAGATTTATTGACTCATTTGTACCTGTACTAGATTTATTGACTCATTTGTATCTTTACGAGGTATGTTGACTCATTTGTACCTGTACTAGGTTTGTGTACTCATTTGTATCTATACTAGGTTTGTGTACTCATTTGTACATGTGCTAGATTTGTTGACTCATTTGTACCTGTACTAGGTTTATTGACTCATTTGTACCTGTACTAGGTTTGTTGACTCATTTGTACCTGTACTAGGTATGTGTTCTCATTTGTACCTGTACTAGGTTTATTGACTCATTTGTATCTATACTAGGTATGTTGACTCATTTGTACCTGTACTAGATTTATTGACTTATTTGTACCTGTACTAGATTTATTGACTCATTTATACCTGTTCTAGATTTATTGACTCACTTGTACCTGTACTAGATTTATTGACTCATTTGTGCCTATACTAGGTATTTGACTCATTTGTACCTTTACTAGGTTTATTGACTCATTTGTACCTGTACTAGGTTTGTTGACTCATTTGTACCTGTACTAGGTATGTGTTCTCATTTGTACCTGTACTATGTTTATTGACTGTACTAGGTTTGTGTACTCATTTGTGCCTGTACTAAATTTATTGACTCATTTGTACCTGTACTAGGTTTGTTGACTCATTTGTACCTGTACTAGGTATGTGTTCTCATTTGTACCTGTACTATGTTTATTGACTGTACTAGGTTTGTGTACTCATTTGTGCCTGTACTAAATTTATTGACTCATTTGTACCTGTACTAGGTTTGTGTACTCATTTGTATCTATACTAGGTATGTGTTCTCATTTGTACCTGTACTAGATTTGTTGACTCATTTGTACCTGTACTAGGTTTATTGACTGTACTAGGTTTGTGTACTCATTTGTGCCTGTACTAAATTTATTGACTCATTTGTACCTGTACTAGGTTTATTGACTGTACTAGGTTTGTGTACTCATTGTATCTGTACTAGGTTTGTGTACTCATTTGTACCTGTACTAAATTTATTGACTCATTTGTACCTGTACTAGGTTTATTGACTCATTTGTATCTATACTAGGTATGTTGACTCATTTGTACCTGTACTAGGTTTGTGTACTCATTTGTACCTGTACTAGATTGATGGACTCATTTGTACCTGTACTAGATTTATTGACTCATTTGTTCCTGTACTAGATTGATGGACTCATTTGTACCTGTACTAGATTTATTGACTTATTTGTACCTGTACTAGATTTATTGACTCATTTGTACCTATACTAGGTATGTGGACTTGTTCGTACCTGTACTAGATTTTTTTACCTGTTTATGTCTCTTCTAGATGACTGTCGTGACTTTCAGTATATTATTTTCCTGACAATTCTTGTCTATTGTGACTGATAACTCTCTGTTACATTGTGTTCCTGACACTTATAATTAAAAGGATTCATACATAATATAGAATACTTTATAAGATGGGTGTGTATCTCCATTTCCTCAGTGATGTCAGTAACCATGGAGAGATCCAGCTTGTCATATTAGAGTCGTTCTCCTCATTAAATGAAGAAGTGAAAGCTGCAGCATCCTATGCACTTGGTAAATATAACTTTGTTTTTCTTGATAAATGTCACTTTGGTTTCTTGGTATATAACTTTGATTTCTTGGTAAATATAACTTTGGTTTCTTGGTAAATATAACTTTAGTTTCTTAGTAAATACAACCTTGATTTCTTTGAGACTTAAGCATTGTATATAAAAAGTGGTTATTTTGCATGGTCAAACTTGTTAAGAAATGTTCCTAGACAAAAATTTCAAGGCAATAATCTGAATTCTTATCAGAAAAACAACACTTTAAACAGAGTTTGGAAAGTGTGTTTTTGAGGCGACAAATATTGCAAAGAATAAGAATAAAACCTTGGGATAATGTATATTATATTCAGTAAATGAACAGCTATAATTCAAAAAGATCTTTTTCCTCTCTGTCTTACTGCCGAAACTTTTCTGGACAAATGATGGCTTTATAAAAAGGTTTTATTTTGTGTGTAGATGCAATCTTTTGTCAAATCCTGAGATTATTGTTTATATAGTATGTTCGACAAATATTATATGAGGCTCATATGTTAAGATCAAGAGACTCTTTTGTATATGTGTCTGTGGAAGGTAGGGAAATTCCACTTAAGATGTTATAGATTGGACTTGTACCCAGAACTTTACTGAAGATTAAATCAAATTGAAATGATATTGGTCTTGTGAAGTTCGCATGCCAATGAATCATCTAAAATGTTTATTTTGTTTTATTTCTTCAGGAAATATCAGTGTTGGAAACTTAAACAAGTTTTTGCCGTTTGTATTGAAAGAAATAGAAAACCAACCAAAGCGACAGTATCTCCTTTTACATTCTCTAAAAGAGGTAAGAATGTCTCATTGTTATAGTTGCTAGTGTAGAAATTCTTTAAAACAGTTGATGAATTAGGTAGGATTAGTATCTGCTTCATTATCTTGGTGTCCTCAAACTTTTATACAATCAAACCTGTATTTGCACATTCAAAAAAGTCTTTAATTTGGTGTCTTAATACAGCTTATTTGGTGTCTTAATATGGCTTATTTGGTGTCTTAATATGGCTTATTTGGTGTCTTAATACCACTAATTTGGTGTCTTGATGCAGCTAATTTGGTGTCTTAATACAGCTAATTTGGTGTCTTATTACAGCTAATTTCAGAAATTTTCAGTAAAGTTGAAAAATTATGCAATGAAATGTTTTCAAAGTGATCTCAGCTCAGGTTGGACATTATAAAAGTTCTGCTCTAGCATTACACATTATAAGATGTGCATCAAAAAGAATCATAACTTTTTGCCATTACAGATTATAAGTTGTGAGTCGGGATCAACAACTGGAGTTGATAACCTCAAGCCCTATGTACAAACTATTTGGTATGTATGTCGCTATTTAAAAAACTTCTTATATATTTGGTTCAGACTGATGTTCATTGTTGTTAACGATACTTCGTTAACTTCGGTATTAAAAATAAACAAAGGGCCATAACTCTGTATATAGAGGGGACACAAGACCTAATTCTAGTGCACTGCACACCTTCTGTGGTTGATGCAAGTATACTTCAAGTTTGATCAAGATATCTTTAACGATTTAAAATTTACGGGCCGGACAAGAATTTTCTAAAAAACAATTTGCTATGTAAAGCACAGTACAATATATATTTGATACGCAGCATGAATCTAAAATGGTGTGTAAGGATTTACTCGAGCCTTAATGCGTACGGTCAATTGTGTTACCATTTAACCAAATGGACAACCTAAACAGCACGACAGGAATATGTTGTTTGGCTAAAAGCTAGCTTGATGACAGCTTATTATGATGTTTTTAAGATTATTCGTAAAAACGATTTTCCATTATTTTGTTACAGATATTTTGAATGACATTTTACTATTGGTATTATTATATAAAGTTCAGATCTTCACTAAAAAAACAACAACATTATAATGCTAAACATCTTTCTAACAGTGTAATACTGCTGAAAGAAGTAGGAATATATCTTCAAAATACGGAAGAGGTAAGATATATCTGTATGATATGTAACTTGGTTTATGGAGATGGCTTATTATAAGAGCCTACTCTTGTTGCCAGATCCCTAATATTACATCATGTAAAATTATATATTATGTACAGCATATTTGTAAATGAAATATTGTTTAAACCAACTTGATTTACAGGACAATGCTATTCCACCATTGTGAATGTCCTGAAGAGGGTACGAGAAACGTCGTGTCGGAATGTCTCGGCAAACTGACCCTGATAGACCCCACTGCTCTCCTCTCCAGCCTCAAACAACACCTGGACAGCCAATCAGCTCTCACCAGGAGTACGGTTGTCACGGCAATAAAGTTTACAATTTCTGATCAAGTATGTTTTCACTTTGTGAGCAAGTTTTGCTGTTAAATTTCTTTTCAGTATTTCTAATGAATTAAAAGTAATTATGACACAAGTTATTTATACTTTAATAAATCAGCCTTTTTCGCTGTTTGTCTTTTTTTGATTTGGAAGAAATCATTATAGCTAGGGCAGTGTAGTTAATCTACATTCCTGTCAGAAAGTCCGACTTTAAATATTGTCATTTTCGTTACTGAAGGTAATTATTCTTGACTGTTAATTAATAATTATTGGCTTTGTCTTGTTTTAGCCCCAAGGTATAGACCCATTACTACGTAACTGTATTGGTGACTTCCTGAAGACGCTACAGGACCCTGACCTCAACGTCAGGAGGGTCGCCCTGGTCACATTTAACTCTGCAGCTCATAACAAACCCTCACTGATCCGCGATCTGCTGGACAAAGTACTGCCCCATCTGTATAACGAAACTAAAGTTAGGGTGAGTATAGCGAAACTAAAGTTAGGGTAAGTAACGTTGGACAACACACAAAGTACTGCCCCATCTGTATAACGAAAGTAAAGTTAGGTCGAGTAACAACACACAAAGTACTGTCCAGATGTTTGAAAATTTTAGTTCCTGTAAGCTTAGGCTGTGATGCTTCTTCATCTGTTTTCCCTTAAATGCCTCCTTAAAAATGTAGAAGCCTTTTTAGTTTAAACAGTATTTTATTCAATAATCAGGCTATACATATAATTAAACAGGGATTGGAAAATAAGCTTGGAGCTTATATTAATTCCTCTCCCAAACATATTTACAAACAAATAAATCTTCAAAACTAAGACACCTTTACTTCAATATCATAAATTGAATAATGAGAGAGTTTGAAATTTAACATTTCTACGGGTGGTGAGAATCAGAAACTATAGACATATAATGTATGACACATTAGGTTGGTAGAAAAAACCACCTTGTGGTGTGCTTGGTATATGACTGTCACATTTGTTACAATAAATGACCTTGACCTTTATGATATGATGTTTGTATTTACAGAAAGAACTGATTAGAGAGGTAGAAATGGGTCCATTTAAACACACACTGGATGACGGATTGGACATCCGAAAGGTAGGTAGACACGAACACACCACTCTCGGTAAAGATCTCGTCACCTAAGTACAGGTAATTCATAGCATCAGTTATAGCACAAGTCTAGGATGAAATGTGTATTTGTAGATAATCTATTCTATCAATCTCGTGCTAGGAAAGATAATCTTCCACCCCTTTGGGGCTGAGATAGAGGGATCTCGACCCGAGAGGAAAGTTCTTAAGTTGCCAAACATGAGGCTTGCTGAATGTTTGGTAACTAAGCAATCTTTACCTGAGGGTTGAGATCTCCCATTTCATTCCTACAAGGGGGGATGTTCTCTTACCCTGTTGACATGAGGTCAATGTATTGTTGATGTAATATCATTAAATTGTTAAAAGTGAGGTCATACAATTGTTATGACTGACAAATCCCTCCGTCTCAACTATCTGGTGAGACTAATATTGGCATCTATCTCACCCTCAAGGGGGTGAATGATTCTTTTTCTCTTACCCTGTTCACCAATGTGTATCATATGCATGATGTAGTGTTAACGTTACAGGCTAAATTCAGGGTTGACGTGACGTGACGTCATACCATTGTTATTTATAATTGAATCCCCCCATCTCAACCCTAGGGTGAGACAAGGATTTCTCGCACCTCAGACAGAGATATCCCACGTCACACCCCGTGCCAGATTTTTCTATCTCGTCCGATCTATCTTGTACCTTTACGTGACATTTTGCGGAATTTTTACACTTCAATGTATTCATCCGCACGTTAACTGCTTGAAATTGACAATTTGCATTATAAATGTTCTGTTTTGTTGTTATTGTATAGTTTTGATGTTGTAGATAAAATATAATCTACACTGTGAAATACGTTGTAATCTATGTAAGGACGGACTACGTTATTACGCGGAAGCATTCAAATGTAGCTTAAGTAGTGAATATGTCATCATCATTGGAGGCCCAAGGCAGGATACTTGTATTTTATTTATTTTTTTAAATAAAAGGGTTGAGAAAAAAAATCAATTACCTGTAACAGAGCAAGATCGGGTTATCTCAGTCTCGGGCTAAGATTCTGTAACATCCCAACCTCCCTCTTGTTCAAATTTGGTAAAACCTGAGGCTTTGTATTTTTCTCTCATTCCAACCACCAGAATAAGCTCAGAAACCATGAAATGCGTTTGGACTGGCCACCATTTTGAAAATATCAATTTAGGTCACATTGTTTTAATAGGAATGTGTTTGTTTCAGGCTGCGTTTGAGTGCATGTACACACTTCTGGACTCCTGTCTAGACCGGTTAGATATATTTGAATTTCTGAACCATGTTGAGGACGGGCTGAAGGATCACTACGACATTAAAATGTTGACATACCTCATGTTGGTGCGACTTGCCCATCTCTGTCCCAGTGCTGTGTTACAACGTGAGTTACATTCTCGTACGCCAGTATTACAGTGAACCTGTCATTGACATTAAGAGGGATTGAATCATTTGGTCAGATAAGACTTAGTTTACCCGTCTTTACTGACACCTAGAGGGATTGAATACTTTAGTGAGAGACAGTGTGTCTAAATCTGTCATTACTGAAATCAAGTAGGATTCACCTGATCACTGTTGTTTTCAATCTAGCCAAGTTGCTGTTAATTTGTGGTTTTCAAATATGGAAGTGGCCTAGCTCAAGGGTAACCTTTTTCTGATTGGTTGATTTTGTAACTGCAATATATTTATAATGGCTGTTGGTTGATTGATGATTCAGCTTTGGATATGGAATGTAGCACAGCAAGGTATTCTTTTGAGTCAAAGATGAGCTTAAAAGTTTTTGCTTGAGGTCAAAGTTCAACTTATTCTGTTTTGAGTAGTAAGCGTTTAAACTCTTCTAGAGTTTGTAGAAGGCTAGTGTCTTAATATTTGTACGAGACTTGCTGGTGAAAATTTCCTTAAAGGTCATAGGAAAAATGTACAAATATTTCAGGCATCTTAAATCTCAGATATTTCGTTAAAGTGTTGAACATTAAAGATTTGATCTGTTGGTATGTGTAGTAGAACTTTTGGTTCTGTTGTGAAAAGCCTGTTTTTGCCAACAATTTCTTGTCAATTCTATAGCAATTAGCTATGAAATATACTTTTGCTGTTTGTGTGTTTAGGTTTGGACCGACTTGTAGAGCCTCTGAGAGCAACATGTACTACCAAGGTCAAGGCCCACTCAGTCAAACAGGAATTTGAGAAACAGGATGAACTCAAGCGGTCAGCCATGAGGGCAGTGGCCTCCCTGTTAGCTATACCTGATGCAGGTAAGTTGCCTCTCGGTTAGCTATACCTGATGCAGGTAATTTGCCTCCCTGTTAGGTATACCTGATACAGGTAAGTCTGTTTTGAAGACAGTGGCCTCCCTGTTAGCTATACCTGATGCAGGTAAGTTGCCTCGCTGTTAGCTATACCTGATGCAGGTAAGTCTGTTTTGAAGACAGTGGTCTCCCTGTTAGCTATACCTGATAAGGCAAGTCTGTTTTGAAGACAGTGGCCTCCCTGTAAGCTATATATACCTGATGTAGGCAAGTCTGTTTTGAAGACAGTGGCCTCCCTGTTAGCTATTCCTGATACAGGCAAGTCTGTTTTGAAGACAGTGGTCTCCCTGTTAGCTATTCCTGATAAGGCAAGTCTGTTTTGAAGACAGTGGCCTCCCGGTTAGCTATACCTGATACAGGCAAGTCTGTTTTGAAGACAGTGGCCCCCCTGTTAGCTATACCTGATGCAGGTAAGTCTGTTATGAAGACATTGGCCTCCCTGTTAGCTATACTTGATGCAGGCAAGTCTGTTTTGAAGACAGTGGCCTCCCTGTTAGCTATTCCTGATACAGGCAAGTCTGTTTTGAAGACAGTGGTCTCCCTGTTAGCTATTCCTGATAAGGCAAGTCTGTTTTGAAGACAGTGGCCTCCCGGTTAGCTATACCTGATACAGGCAAGTCTGTTTTGAAGACAGTGGCCTCCCTGTAAGCTATATATACCTGATGTAGGCAAGTCTGTTTTGAAGACAGTGGCCTCCCTGTTAGCTATACTTGATGCAGGTAAGTCTGTTTTGAAGACAGTGGCCTCCCTGTTAGCTATACCTGATACAGGCAAGTCTGTTTTAAGACAGTGGCCTCCAGTGACTGTTGTTAAATAAAAGTAAATTATATCGAGAAACGGTCCTTGTTCCCTGGTTGATATACTTCGGAACTGGTTGAATTGATTGTGTTTTTAATGTTCAAACACATAATATGTAATTTTCAAATTATTGAACTGGCAGTATGTGTTAGGCCAGGTATGTTTTCATATATCTAAGTAAATTTCTATATCAGTGACAGAATAAAATGTTCCCGTTATAAATTTTCATTCGAAAATAAATTAATGAATGAATTATATATACTGAACATAAAATGGATAGTAAAGTGTGTCAGTAGTCAGTTTTCCTTCGGTAATAATATTGGTGGATTCCACCTTCCATAAAAACCACAAAAAAAATGGCAAATATCATGCATGATTCAGTACATCTAAATTCATTCTGTTGTTGTTGATGTTTAATTGTCTGTTGTTGTTGATGTTTAATTGTCTGCTGTTGTTGATGTTTAATTGTCTGTTGTTGATGTTTAATTGTCTGTTGTTGATGTTTGATTGTCTGTTGTTTAATTGTCTGCCGTTGTTGATGTTTAATTGTCTGCCGTTGATGTTTGATTGTCTGTTGTTGATGTTTAATTGTCTGCCGTTGATGTTTGATTGTCTGCCGTTGATGTTTGATTGTCTGTTGTTGATGTTTAATTGTCTGCCGTTGATGTTTGATTGTCTGTTGTTGATGTTTAATTGTCTGCCGTTGATGTTTGATTGTCTGTTGTTGATGTTTAATTGTCTGCTGTTGTTGATGTTTAATTGTCTGCCGTTGATGTTTAATTGTCTGCCGTTGATGTTTGATTGTCTGTTGTTTAATTGTATGCCGTTGTTGATGTTTGATTGTCTGTTGTTGATGTTTAATTGTCTGCCGTTGTTGATGTTTCCAGACAAGAGTGCACAGATGAATGAGTTCCTCTCCCAGATAAAATCCACAACAGAACTGTGCAGTATGTTTGAGAGCATCCAGAAGGATGCTCAATCCACGTCCTCGACAGACATCATTGTCATGGATACCAGCTGAGGACAACCAACAGGCTGTGCTCAATGTTGTATTTTGCTACATGATAGTACAGCGAGATAAACATATGATTTTCAGGTTGCCTTTCACTACGGAGACTGGATCTAGAACTGCCAGAGCGAGTCGCAGATCCAGATATTACAAAATCATGTCTGCTGTTCCTGAAAGTTTTCTATGATAAGAGACTTCAGTCCCTTTGGAAAGTCTCAAAACTCTGCCAATAGATTTGCAGGAATATCTGATAATTCTAATGAGAAAAATAATTTCACCTATTCAACCATTGACGGAAACATCTTCCTGGATATATTTTGTAACACCTTTGAAATTCAATCAAACAGAGGTTAGGCTAACTAGCTTTCTGTCTCCATGTTAAGTTCAAGGTCAATGCCAAGGTGAACAGAAATACTGGGCAAACTTGATTCTGACGTGCCAGTCGTGCCAGGTTTGTGCTTGCTGCCGGCACGCTACATTCAAGCCAGGCGGCATACGCGCAATATGGCTGAAACAAGTCCCATTGTCTGTCTCTCCAGTCCGGCGAAACTTCTTATCCAACGGTACGTGCCAAACTTGCGGGACTTGCATAATCAAGTGGTAGTACCGCCTTCCGGCGGCAACCGGCACGCCAGAATCAAGTTCGTCCATTGTGGTGTAATACTTATCCTTATTTGGTGCATATGAAACAGTCTACACACGTCATTGTAATGTCTTAAAAATATAATTTTACACCCTGGTTAAAGAAATTGAATTGTTCATTCACAGACATTACGATGTTCAGTTATAGACATTAGAAAGAATGTGTATGAACATTGTTATCAGGCCATATACCAGGTAGACATTATAATGTCTTTAACTCATTCACCCCTACATATTTAATAACTGGACTTGCCAAGTCTTTGATTAGGTAAGGTCCAAATGTGACTTTAGGGGTGAATGGGTTAAAGACGTCATAATGACCCGAGCATAGAAGTCTTTATAAGTAAAATGTCTATAGACATCATGTTTGTGTGTAGACATTGTGATACTGTGTATAGATGTGAAACAATCTGAGTATATACATCTTAATAGACTCTAGACATCATATTGTCTATAAATATACCGTAATGTCTGCATTTGACATCGTAATGTGCGTGTACACTGTGAATTTTCCACCCCGTCAAATTTTCACCCTTTGAGAGTAAAATCCATTTTTGTCCAATATGAAGTTCGCTCGTCACGTTTAATTACCATGTATATCATGTCGTTTAAAAAAGTTTGCTGTAATGATAAATTCGCCCTCATTACGGAGGGCGTAAAAAGGTGAAAATTAAACTGCTGCGAAAATGTCCTGGTAAACATACAGTAAACATGGTTATATATAATGACATTGTGATATCTGTACAGACTTAAAAATATCTGCAAAGATGTTCTCAATTCCTGCTCCTCTATTGGAACTTCAATGTGGATGCAAGTAAAGTTTTGAAGATAAACAATTCTGCAATCAAATATATGTATAAATATGAAGTGAATGGTTAGTGTTATATAATTTATATGTGTGGCGTGAATGAGCCTGTATGTAGCCTGCTGCCATGGTGACATGGTCATACTGTGATCATTGTGAAAAGTGCTATTCCTGCAGTACATTATACTCTACTACTCGATTTGATTTTGAATGTAATAATACAATCTTAACCTTTTTTGATGGAACTAATTAAATGATAGGATTTCCAAATTGTTCCCCGCAGAACTTACAGAAACTCTGCACAGGTCTTTCATCTTACGATTTTGTTGTTGATTTTCAAAGTGCTAAGGGCAATATGAGGTTACCCAAACAAGTGATTTTCTAACGTTAACTTCTTCACTGCTAAGAATTTAAACAATTGATTACCTTTAAACTACTTATTCTGCATGAGATATCTTATCTGGTATTCCAAAAATTTAGAAAGTGTCCTGACAATGGAGAATCCACTAATCTCAGCAGATTTTTATTAACTCATTCACCCCTGATATTTTATAATGAACTATTCCAGCATTTGAATTGAAAGAGTTCAAATGTGAATTAAGGTGTGAATGAGTTTTGAACATTTGTAGATTCTCTCAATGTGTTATTTCTGTTTTCAATTTCCTGTCAAGTATTAATGTTCCTATAGTAGCTGGAACTTGACCACAGGGAAGGGTAGGGACCTAGACGCAGTGTTTAATATACTCTAGTTGTTGTACGAGTAATGCTTCCATGCAATGACCTTGTGGTAACATATGTTGTCCATCCTCAATACTCCAAGGGCTATGCTAACATGACCCCTCTGCTCCCCTGAAATTATGTCAGGGCAAAATTCAAAAAGATATTTTTTGATTGGTCTCGGGTATAAAAAAATTGACCACTTCCTAGGCCGATAACTGTCCTTCGAAGATTACAGAGGAGAGTCACCCCGACTTCCAAGCCTGTCTATTACAGTATCGCACAATTCTTTTGATATTTATCAAAGGATCGAACTAGTCTTCTCGTCTCGTCCACAAGGTGGTCACACCGAGCCTTCAATTTTGCTATGACATATTCCAGGGGTGCAGAGAGCGAAAGTGAGCGTAACTCCTGGATATTGAGGATGATGCCAAGCTATCTGTATTGATGGTCTTATCAATTATCTTTATCCACTGTTTAATCTGTAGAGATGGATGTGATATGGAAATCTGAAACGAATATATCCCTTGCTGGAGAGGAGTGTAGACACCAGACATTGTAATACAATCTAAAATCAACTCCAGTCTGGACACAAGACTGTTTAAACCCTTTCACCCCTATGTAACTTTAGTAGACTCTACCATGCATTGATCTGGATGAGTCCATTATGGTCTACAGTGGTGAAAGGGTTTAACACAAGCTGTGCTTGTCAGAATCTGTGTTTTTGTGATTTGAGCATAAAATTTACAACAAACGCTGCAGAAAATTTAGTGCTGCCCTCTTGTAAGTGCTTAGTTCGTGCATTTTCGATGGTACATGTATTGCTATCCTTGAGCAGGTACTAAATGCTGTTTCTATGGAAGTGTTTTTTCAGTGTAAGCCCAGTGCAAACACAGTGCACCCTTGTTTAACTAATTTGCCCCTGAAGACACATTTGAACCCTTCCAATTCAAAGGTTGGAATAATTCATTATGAAACTTCAGGGGTGAATGAGTTAAAAGTGCTAACTTCATGCTTTCCAGTTGAAGTGCTATCCTGGAGCAGGTACCAACAGGTACTAATTATAAGTGCTGTTTCTCGGCGCAAGCCCAGTGCAAACTCTGTGCTACCCCTATTTAAGTGCTAACTTCCTGTGGCCCTGGTGCAAGTGCTGGAAATACCGTTTTATTTTTATTTCATATTAATAGCATATTATTTTTTAAGGAATATGACATTGATAAATAGCTTTAGCGTCAAATTGAAGATTTATTGTAAAATGGAGATAAGGACATACTTTATTTCCATTCAAAATAGTTATCTGTATACATTACAATCTCTGCATGTTGATGTGTGCGTACTACAGCAGAAAGGTAACAGTTTTATTGCTTTGTTAGACACGATACCTCTGATGTAATATCGTCGGAATAAATTAAAAACTGTTCGTTTTAAAACCTACCTGGATTACATATATATCGGTATGTAAATTCGCTGTAGTTTTCTTACCCTCCTTGGGGATTAAATGTTTTGATTTAAAATCACATCAAGCGTTGGTTGTCATTATTTTGTGTCATTTTTGACTATTGAGCACAGAAAAATGGGATTGGGTTTTAAAAGCAATGTCAAACATAATAATAGCAGTATGAACCATTGTTGGGTCAGGTCAGGGTAGTAGTTGAGACAGGTCTCGGGTGTATATGTGTTGGTTTCCTGTTATTGACATAATGAGACAAATTTACCAGAATGAGACGGGCAAAACATACTGCAGTCGAAAAAATACTTGTTGACATGCTCATTCTAATATTTTACAGAGCTTGAAAATTTGAATGGTACGCAACCAGTTGTTGGGTGTTATAATAAGAATTGTAACATTCAGAGCTAAATTTTGTTTGTTTGGCTTTTATCAATTGTTATAATTCATCGTCATTTCTCTTTGTTATGACTTGGTATAACTTGAAACTTAATTATCATTTATCTGTGTAATTATGAAAATTACAATGAAAATTAAAATTAATACAAAACTTTTATTAAGTATTCAAAAATGACATGATCACAGTTTAACAAGATGAGCTACATGTATCAATGTAATGGGGAGATTCCAATAAAAACTTCACTGCTGCCGTAAACTCAATCACTGCTGTAATAGATTTAACTTCATCAAAACAGTAAAGTCAATGCAGTAAACCGTAAAGTCAACTTTCATCAATGCAGTAAACAGTAAAGTCAACTTTCATCAAGGCAGTAAATTCCATGGCTTGGGGAAACTTTATCAATGCAGTAAATTTCACTCCATAGCCAGGGAAACTTCATCAATGCAGTAAATTCCAACTCCATGGCTTGGTAAACTTCATCAATGCAGTAAATTTCACTCCATGGCCAGGGAAATTTCATTAATGCAGTAAATTCAACTCCATAACTCGGGGACACTTCATTAATGCAGTAAATTCCACTTCATCAATGCAGTAAAGTAATCTCCACTGGTGAAAATCGAGGACACGGACAATAATGTAAATTAAATGTTAAGATGGTGCATGAAGGGTGTTCAGTGGGGTCACATGTTCTGTGGAGGTGATCAGTGGGGTCGCAGTCGGGTCACATGTTCTGTGGAGGTGATCAGTGGGGTCGCAGTCGGGTCACATGTTCTGTGGAGGTGATCAGTGGGGTCGCAGTCGGGTCACATGTTCTGTGGAGGTGATCAGTGGGGTCGCAGTCGGGTCACATGTTCTGTGGAGGTGATCAGTGGGGTCGCAGTCGGGTCACATGTTCTGTGGAGGTGATCAGTGGGGTCGCAGTCGGGTCACATGTTCTGTGGAGGTGATCAGTGGGGTCGCAGTCGGGTCACATGTTCTGTGGAGGTGATCAGAGCAAAGGCGAGAGACTCCACTGAAATTAACAGGAAACGCAGTCAAAACAAAAAGTTTCGATGCAAACAGAATTAATATACAATCTGACAAGTATTGCAGTAAGTTGACCTTTGACACTTTGATGTGACCTTGACCTATGTGTATAAAACACTGAACAGTCCCTACAATATGACTGGCCCCTTTCGCATATCTGGTTCAACCAGTTAAGAAAATGACAGGCACAGATCTGAACCAAGGCTGACCTCAGGAAAATTTGGAACGTGTAGACTGAGAGACATAACTGACCGAAACCAAAATGCTAGTTTGCGTTATTTCTTAATAAAACAATGTCAATCCACATGTAGGTTTTTAGATACGTTATTCAGTGGATGTGTGAAAGAAGGGCATAACATTCTTGATACATTGTTATTTCTTCTCCGAAACTGTATTTTTGGCTCTGCTTATAGAACGGTCCAACTGCGTTTGTTTATCATGGAATATTTCTGCCCCACCTGTACTGTTTTAACCGAGATAGGCGAATACGACCTATGAATTCCTCTATGACATTGAGCATATGGACCTATGACTGCTGGGCATATTTCTCGTATTTATGAATACAGCAAGGGTATTTGGTGTCTGCTAATCAATATATACCTAGAGGTATTAACTAGTCCTGTCATAGCAATGAAATAGACGGTCAGGATGACAACATCAACTTAAATCCCAGACAACAACGTTTAAGTACCTGTATTGTGTCGATGTAAACATTGAAGCTATGTGATCACTCCAGTTTATGATGTTAAATCACCATTACATTTGATTACTTTTGATGACATCATGATGTATAACTACTTATGGGGATGGAACGAGCCTCTTTTGATGACATCATGATGTATAGTTACCTACAGACGGAACGAGCCCCTTTTAATGACATCGTGATGAATAATTGCTTCTTGTGAGGGAACGCGCCCCTTTTGATGATGTTGTGATGTATAATTACTTAGGGAGGGACCGAGCCTCTTTTGATGACATCATGATCTATAGTTACTTACAGTGAGGGAACGAGCCCCTTTTGATGACAGTGAGGGAAGGAGCCCCTTTTGATGACGTTGTGATGTATAGTTCCCTACAGTGAGGGACCAAGTCCCTTTTGATGAGGTGGTGATGTATAATTACCTACAGTGAGGGAACGAGCCTCTTTTGATGACGTTGTGATGTATAGTTACCTACAGTGCGGGAACAAGCCCCTTTTGATGACGTTGTGATGTATAATTACCTACAGGGAGGGAACGAGCCTCTTTTGATGTCGTTGTGATGTATAGTTGCCTACAGTGAGGGAACAAGTCCCTTTTAATGACATTGTGATGTATAATTACTTACAGTGAGGGAAGGCACCCCTTTCGATGACATTGTGATGTATAATTACTTACAGTGAGGGAACGAGCCCCTTTTGATGACGTTGTGATGTATAGTTACCTACAGTGCGGGAACAAGCCCCTTTTGATGACGTTGTGATGTATAGTTAACTACAGTGAGGGAACAAGTCCCTTTTAATGACATTGTGATGTATAATTACTTACAGTGAGGGAAGGCACCCCTTTTTATGACGTTGTGATGTATAATTACTAACATTGAGGGAACGCACCCTTTTTGATAATGTTGTGATGTATGGTTACTTACAGTGAGGGAACGAGCCCCTTTTGATAATGTTGTGATGTATAGTTACTTACAGTGAGGGAACGAGCCCCTTTTGATAATGTTGTGATGTATAGTTACCTACAGTGAGGGACCAAGACCCTTTTGATGACGTTGTGATGTATAATTATTAACAGTGAGGGAACGCGCCCCTTTTGATGATGTTGTGATGTATAATTACTTAGGGAGGGAAGGAGCCTCTTTTGATGACATCGTGATGAATAATTACTTACAGTGAGGGAACGAGCCCCTTTTGATGACAGTGAGGGAACGAGCCCCTTTTGATGACAGTGAGGGAACGAGCCCCTTTTGATGACAGTGAGGGAACGAGCCCCTTTTGATGACGTTGTGATGTATAATTATTAACAGTGAGGGAACGCGCCCCTTTTGATGATGTTGTGATGTATAATTATTTAGGGAGGGAACGAGCCTCTTTTGATGACATCATGATCTATAGTTACTTACAGTGAGGGAACGAGCCCCTTTTGATGACAGTGAGGGAAGGAGCCCCTTTTGATGACGTTGTGATGTATAATTACCTACAGTGAGGGACCAAGTCCCTTTTGATGACGTTGTGATGTATAATTACTTGCAGTGAGGGAACGAGCCCATTTTGATGACATTGTGATGTATAATTACTTAGTGAGGGAACGAGCCTCTCTTGCTGATGTTGTTATGTATAATTACTTAGTGAGGGAACGAGCCCCTTTTAATGACGTTGTGATGTATAGTTACCTACAGTTAGGGAACAAGCCCCTTTTGATGACGTTGTGATGTATATTTACCTACATTGAGGGAACAAGTCCCTTTTAATGACGTTGTGATGTATAATTACCTACAGTGAGGGACCAAGTCCCTTTTGATGACGTTGTGAGGTATAATTACTTGCAGTGAGGGAACGAGCCCATTTTGAGGACATTGTGATGTATAATTACTTAGTGAGGGACCGAGCCCCTTTTGATGACGTTGTGATGTATAGTTACCTTCAGTGAGGGAACAAGCCCTTTTTGATGACATTGTGATGTATAATTACTTAGTGAGGCAACGAGCCCCTTTTGATGACGTTGTGATGTATAATTACCTACAGTGAGGGAACGAGCCTCTTTTGATGACGTTGTGATGTATAGTTACCTTCAGTGAGGGAACAAGCCCTTTTTGATGACATTGTGATGTATAATTACTTAGTGAGGGAAAGAGCCCTTTTTGATGACATCATGATGTATAGTTACCTACAGACAGGGAACGAGCCCCTTTTGATGACAGTAAGGGAACGAGCCCCTTTTGATGACGTTGTGATGTATAATTACTAACATTGAGGGAACGCACCCTTTTTGATTATGTTGTGATGTATGGTTACTTACAGTGAGGGAACGAGCCCCTTTCATGATGTTGTGATGTATAGTTACCTACAGTGAGGGAACGAGCCCCTTTTGATGATGTTGTTATGTATAGTTACCTACAGTGAGGGAAGGCACCCCTTTTGATGACGTTGTGATGTATAATTACCTACAGTGAGGGACCAAGTCCCTTTTGATGACGTTGTGATGTATAGTTACCTACAGTTAGGGAACAAGCCCCTTTTGATGACGTTGTGATGTATATTTACCTACATTGAGGGAACAAGTCCCTTTTAATGACGTTGTGATGTATAACTACTTACAGTGAGGGAAGGCACCCCTTTTGATGACGTTGTGATGTATAATTACCTACAGTGAGGGACCAAGTCCCTTTTGATGACGTTGTGATGCATAATTACTTGCAGTGAGGGAACGAGCCCCTTTTGATGACATTGTGATGTATAATTACTTAGTGAGGGAACAAGCCCCTTTTGATGACGTTGTGATGTATAATTACTTGGTGAGGGAACAAGCCCCTTTTGATGACGTTGTGATGTATATTTACCTACATTGAGGGAACAAGTCCCTTTTAATGACGTTGTGATGTATAACTACTTACAGTGAGGGAAGGCACCCCTTTTGATGACGTTGTGATGTATAATTACTAACATTGAGGGAACGCACCCTTTTTGATAATGTTGTGATGTATGGTTACTTACAGTGAGGGAACGAGCCCCTTTTGATGACGTTGTGATGTATAGTTACCTTCAGTGAGGGAACAAGCCCTTTTTGATGACATTGTGATGTATAATTACTTAGTGAGGGAAAGAGCCCTTTTTGATAACATCATGATGTATAGTTACCTACAGACAGGTAACGAGCCCCTTTTGATGACATTGTGATGTATAATTACCTACAGTGAGGGAACGAGCCCCTTTTGATGATGTTGTGATGTATAATTACCTACAGTGAGGGACCAAGTCCCTTTTGATGACGTTGTGATGTATAATTACTTGCAGTGAGGGAACGAGCCCATTTTGATGACATTGTGATGTATAATTACTTAGTGAGGGAACGAGCCCCTTTTGATGACGTTGTGATGTATAGTTACCTACATTGAGGGAACAAGTCCCTTTTAATGACGTTGTGATGTATAACTACTTACAGTGAGGGAAGGCACCCCTTTTGATGACGTTGTGATGTATAATTACTTACAGTGAGGGAACGCGCCCCTTTTGATAATGTTGTGATGTATAGTTACTTACAGTGAGGGAACGAGCCCCTTTTGATGACATCATGATCTATAATTACTTACAGTGAGGGAACGAGCCCCTTTTGATGATGTTGTGATGTATATTTACCTACATTGAGGGAACAAGTCCCTTTTAATGACGTTGTGATGTATAACTACTTACAGTGAGGGAAGGCACCCCTTTTGATGACGTTGTGATGTATAATTACTTACAGTGAGGGAACGCGCCCCTTTTGATAATGTTGTGATGTATAGTTACTTACAGTGAGGGAACGAGCCCCTTTTGATGACATCATGATCTATAATTACTTACAGTGAGGGAACGAGCCCCTTTTGATGATGTTGTGATGTATATTTACCTACATTGAGGGAACAAGTCCCTTTTAATGACGTTGTGATGTATAACTACTTACAGTGAGGGAAGGCACCCCTTTTGATGACGTTGTGATAAATAATTACTTACAGTGAGGGAACGCGCCCCTTTTGATAATGTTGTGATGTATAGTTACTTACAGTGAGGGAACGAGCCCCTTTTGATGACATCATGATCTATAATTACTTACAGTGAGGGAACGAGCCCCTTTTGATGATGTTGTGATGTATAGTTACCTACAGTGAGGGACCAAGTCCCTTTTGATGACGTTGTGATGTATAGTTACCTACAGTGAGGGAACAAGACCCTTTAATGATACAGTGAGGGAAGGCACCCCTTTTGATGACGTTGTGATGTATAATTACTTAAGTTAGGAAACGAGACCCTTTTGATGACGTTGTCATGTATAATTACTTACATTGGGGGAACGAGCCCCTTTTGATAACATTGTGATGTATATAGTTACTTACAGTGAGGGAACGAGCCCCTTTTGATGACGTTGTTGAGGAAGGAAGCAAGGAATTGAATACAGCGAGAAAACTCCACCTCAATCTCCTGTATAGTCTTTATACTGAAATACCAAAAAAATCTGGTAAAGTGTTGATCTAGGAACTGATGGGAGTTCTTTTGGACACTCATGCTTACTTTTTGCAATATTTCAGAACAATATCAAAGTCTGTTGGCATGTAAAACTATTAAGGCATCAAAAGTTCCTATGCAATTCACTTTCCTTAAAAAATAATTCCAATCAGAATTGAGTGTTTGGTATGAAAACAAAGAAAAACGTGATAATACAGAAAAACTGTAAGACTTTTTCATGCCAACGGGGTGCAGAATAGAGAAATTTCACCCATTGGGTTTTCATAATCCTGGGCATGAAAGAGTGTTTTTCTCTTATCTTGATCACAAAAATAAACTCAGAAACCACAAAATAGGTGTACCAATTGCAACGTCATGTCCATGTTATGCAATTTTGATGTCATGGTAATGAAATGGGGTGCGAGATAGAGATTTTGTACACCAATTCCATTTTTCACACAAGAGGGAAAATCCAATCTCTAAAATAGTGTTCACACAGAAATACAACTAGAACAGGTCAAGCTAGTTTTAGAAACAGAGACCTTGACAACTTTTTAAACCCCTATTGCACATCTATATATTTCAGAGTCTCACCATGAACTAATTTCCAAAATATTAGACTTTTGGATACCAAGATTAGGACCGTATCCCCAGGGTATATATTAAGTAACAGTGAACTTGACCTGAATTTTTTTTAAAACCCCTATTACCCATTGATATTTTGCAATGTATGACCATGTCAAATTTCAGAAAGATTAGGGTTTTCAGGATAATCTCCGGAAACAAAAATGGGGATGGACAGATAGCCAGACAGTCACAGTGATTACTATAGGACACCAGCATCTCTGATATGGGGCCCTAATTATATCTCAAACAAAATGAGATCTCAAACAAAATACAAGCATATCTCTGAAATTTTGTTCACAGAGGAATACAATTTTATTTTCTGTATGTGTTATAAACACAGTATTCTGTAACAGAGGTCATTATTTTTTTAAAGCTTCCGGCAGGAGTCGAACCCGGGACTCTAGTCTTACTAATCTTACGCTCTAACAAATGAGCTAACAAGAAATTCTCCCTAGCCGAGTCGGTAGGAAGTGGCTAGTATTTTACCATGGTGACATACTCTCCCTCCAGGAAAGAACTCGTCCCAAGTTTTCCAGGTGTCATAGCGATTACTTTGCAATATCGCTGAGTATATTTGTCAATATTACCCAGGTCCCTATGTGGGTGCCAATGTAACGGTGGCCATTTATTTTCCAATGCCTCCGCTAGGAGATGAACCCGGGACCTCTGGTTTACTAGTCTTGTTCTCTACCGAATGAGCTAAAGAGAAATTCCCCCTAGCTGAGTCGGTAGGAAGCGGCTAGTATTTTACCATGGTGATGTCGCATTCAAAGTGATAAATATCTGTCGCAGTGTTTATACCTGATGTGATGAATGCCTCTGTCCCAGAGATTGTGGAATGTCAGAATGAGGTTTAGCACCTTCATGACGGCTTCTTTGAGGAACTTGACTTTGCTGTGGAGCAGGCATCTCTCGTGGATTTTGTGGATATAGTCGTTATGTATCTTTATGATTTGGTCGAGATCCTCAGCCTTCTGAAGCTCTGTCTGGAACTCTAGTCCTGTGCTGTGTAATATCTAGGTAAAGACGAAAACAAAACAAACATTGAAAACAGCAAGAAGAAAGATAAAATCATGCAATTGTTATGGATAGGGGAGTCCTTCCCAGTTCAATCCTAGAATGTATTGAAATGGCATCAAATTTGCTGTGGCATGAACATACTGGGGGTACTTTTCACCTTATATAACCTTCCCCCTACAAACTGGGGCTCTCTGCACCCTATATAACCCTCCCCCTAAAAACTGGGGCTCTCTGCACCCTATATAACCCTCCCCCTAAAAACCGGGGCTCTCTGCACCCTATATAACCCTCCCCCTACAAACCGGGGCTCTCTGCACCCTATATAACCCTCCCCCTACAAACTGGGGCTCTCTGCACCTTATATAACCCTCCCCCTAAAAACCGGGGCTCTCTGCACCCTATACCAAACTTCACTACCAACAGGGACCATCACAATATTTAGAAGCAGGATTTTTGGCATGCAAATATGAGTGTAATGTCAACATTTGAATATAAATGAAAGGAATTGTTATCTAATGTATCATTTCATTCAAATTAAATATTATCATTGGATTTAATGAGAATGAAAGATTGAATGATTGGGAGTTTGAGAGCAGAAATGAAAGAGCAGAGTGAATGAAGGGAAAAGGCGTCTTGCGTGAGGTTACATTATGTAAGAGGGATGAACCCGGGGGTCACGTACCCTCGTCATGATATAGTTATGCAGACTGTTCACAAAAAATAACAGCCTCATTCGGAGAACATGCACCCTGTGGACACGAGCTGAACTTGGGAGTTCCTCATCAAGGGCAAGTAACTCTTCATCGCGAGACTTGCTCTGCAATATATCCTCCTTTTCCAGATCTAGAAATTATAAAAAAATGTAACAATAAAAAAAGAATTTTCTTTGTTCAGATTCTGTGTTAAAACAATCATTATTTTTCAAGGGTATATAGTACCTATCACCTGTAATGTAAATGGTCTTTGCATGTCAAAACTTGGCAAGGTGATACCTTCATGGTTTTTATAAGTGAATTTTCCACAGACCTCTTTTTGGGGTTCCCACTGTCTCATTTGACTCCTACACTGCAGACTGAATGCTGAGCTGCTTTCCAACTGGTTGATATTACACTTTTTACAAACAACAAAACTGGTTTTAGATATAGATGTTTGAACTCATCATCTGCAACATGCATTTCGCTTTATCAGCATCCTGGGAGACAACACTCGTATTTTACATTACGTTTGATTCCAGGTCCTAAGAATTGTTTATATCATGTTTGACCTTTACCAACTTTAAACGTCAGATGAGAAAAATAGTACAAAGGATATATAAGATGGAGCTCCAATATCTAGATTCCGTAGTGTTATTATGGGTTTACATATTTCGACTAGCTAGGCTATATGTACATATTTTAGGGCAAATGTAGAAATCATGGCTCCCACCTACGACCATGGACAACCAGGATGTTGGTCCTCTCTCACACCAATAGGAGTGACCAGTCCCATTTTAACATGAGAAATATAAGTTCAAATTATTGGACTGAAAGACAGATACTCTGCTTCTAATATACCTGAATATGTTTAAAATAATTGGTATGAAGTAAATATATAGCACTCCATGGTAGGTGCTGTCATATGAAATTTCAGAAAATTTCATCCAATACTTGAGATATAGCAAGAACAAACTTCAAACAGAGCCCCACCCCTATGCCCCTAGGGGGTCATACCCATCAATTATACAAAATTGAGTCCTCTTGACCAAGGATGCTCCAGACTAAATAACGATAAAATATCCCTTAATCCCCATGGTCAAAAAAGGATTTTAAAGGTTTTACATCAATTTCTCCTATTGGGCCCCGCCCTTCTGCCCCCTGGAAGACCACACCCACTGCTTATACAAAATTGAGTCCCCTTGGCCCAAGGATGCTCCACACCAAATATGGACCAAATCCTGTCATTCCTACAGAAGAAAACGGATTTTGAAGAAGAAATTGCTATATTTCCCATATTGGGCCCTGCCTCTCAGGCCCCTGGGGGGCCAGACCCAACATTTATACAAAATTGGGTCTTCTCCCCCCAATGATGCTCCACACCAAATTTTGTTAAAATCCGCTCAGTGGTTCATGACTAGCAGTGTAAAGTTGACGGATGACGGACGCAAGACGACGGACGACGGAGGACAGAAGTTGCGGTATGGCATAAGCTCACCATGGTCCTTCGGACCAGGTGAGCTAAAAATGAAACAGTACTAACCAAAGAATCTCAGTTCGTCCAGACAGTACTTTGCCCGTTTGATCTGCAGAAGGAAGCTAAACACCTGATTATAGATGTTCTGACATTTGGTGTTAATAACGACGTCTACAGGCCAGGGTACCTACAACAACGACACATATTTATGGAAGATTCATACCGTCACTTACAAGGGTAATATACCTCATAATAATGAATTAACAGTCACTGGTAATTTACCTTATATTGAAGTTTCATACAGTAAGTGACAAGGGTGATATACCTCATACTAATGAATTATTGAAGTTTCATACAATAGGTGACAAGGGTGATATACCTCATACTAATGAATTAACAGTCACTGGTAATTTACCTTATACTGAAGTTTCATACAGTCGGTGACAAGGGTAATATACCTCATACTAATGAAGAAACAGTCACTGGTAATTTACCTTATATTGAAGTTTCATACCGTCATTTACAAGGGTAATATACCTCATACTAATGAAGAAACAGTCACTGGTAATTTACCTTATATTGAAGTTTCATACAGTAGGTGACAAGGGTAATATACCTCATACTAATGAAGAAACAGTCACTGGTAACTTACCTTATATTGAAGTTTCATACAGTCGGTGATGTTGATCGGGTTTGGCTCGGAGGAGGTCGGTAGAGGATTGATCTCTATTGTCAGCCTAAAACACAGTAACAAAATCTATATTCAACCTAAACCAAGTTTTACTTTTGTTTTAACAACAACAGTTCCATTATTTTCAATGGCCTTATTTCTATCAGTAAAACATTTTACTTTTTAACCAAGAAGGTGATTTATTCTATTTTTTTTCTCATTGTGTACCTGTTGACTTCGTCCGGAAAGTAAGTCTGCAGTGCCTCCTGGAGGGTAAGATTGACAGAGGAAGCATCACGCCAGTGTTCATGGAGGCGGATCTGTAATATAAAGTCAATCAGGAAATATTACTGTGTAATTCATTTTTCAAAATTGTGCAATGAAACTTCCATCATTTGTTTCACTCATTTTGCTAACAGAAACCGGTGTGATATTGAATGGCAACACCAGAATTATTCACACCTGAATAAACCTGTTATCAGTATAATGTGAACGGGTGGAATAATTAGCAGGGTGTCTTGGGCTTTGGTATTTCAGTGAGATAGCACTATAAAGTTGGAATCAGATCTGTGCTATCAGAAGGAGGCAATTACAACAACATACCCTGTCTCCAGCCAAGATACAACCCTGTCTCCAGCCCAGATACATAAATTACAAACATGGAGGCTGGTCCTTAAATGACCTTAGCTGTTGATAGGATGGTAAACAAAAGAAAGACAAAAAACCCTTCTAATGTGTGTCATAATATCAAACATAATCTACTGGTAATACAGTTAACTCATTCACCCCTGAAATTTCATAATGAACTGTTCCAACCTTTTAATTGGAAGAGTTCAAATGTGTCTTCAGGGGTGAATGAGTTAAAAAAACTAGAAAATGTCTATAAGACATAAATGCCCTCCCACTAATGGATGGGACGGGACGGACATGGGCAACACAATATAACCCCCCATTTTATGGCGGGGGCATAAAAAACTCCTTATACTGCCACCATTAGTCCATAGAAATTTTGGCATTATAAAGGGGTTGGGTGATAAATTGAAGGAATTTATAAGAAAAAGCGAAAAAGGAATCTTGAAATATGCTGGCCCAAAGCGAGTTGGCAAATAAAGGAGGGGCATTATATCAAAGTTTTAATGTACACTACTACCTTGTCAAATATTGGAGAGTAAAATTCAAACATGGTGTCTCCTGCCTCCATCAAAAAGAAATGCTGAAAAAGAAATAAAAGACTATATTAGCCGACATTTTTAATCATTTTTGCTACGTGGTTCATGTAATATCAATTACTAAACACAGGGATTTTACCGCTTAGTAAACTTTGAGTTCTATCATACCAAATGAGCTACATTTAATTCTTTGCAGGTTACATATTGTAACTATGAGTTTCTTACACTCAGTCACTAGGAAACATCAACTTTACCACTCTTAAATCAAATTCAAAGTTTGTTATCTATTTCTAGATTGTTATATTTCTTACACTCATCAATTTGACCCAGTGGGTGTCCTGCTGGGTGTCTTCGGCAGTATGTTTCAGTGAGGTAGCACTATAAAGTCGGCATCAGTTCCACGCTATCACATTAAGGAGACAAACACAAACATATTGCAGCCTCCCTAAACACACACGCCTACACTACACATACGCATCTTGTACACAGGGGAGACCGTCCTTAAATGACCATAGCTGTTAACAGGACGTTAAACAATGCTAAACCAAACCAAACCAACCCGAACCAAACAAATTAAGAAACACCATTGAGTTTTACTATTCTTATTTCAAATTTGAAGTTAATTATCTATTTCCAAGCTGTTACCATTGCGATCTATTCTTTTGCCTTTTAGCAGTCTCAGAACAGTGTAACCTTTCCATCATCAATGTTCAACTTAGTAAGTCACTGAAGTGAAACATTGTTCTCTAACATGTGTTGCATTATACTGTAAACATACTTATTTTAGGGCACTCAAATTTTAGCGCATTATCCAACTTTAACAGATTAGCGCTCTGATGAATTGGCACACCCACAAAATAGGCAATCAAGAAAATCATACATGAACTTCAATTGGCGCATTGATAATTCGGTGCAATATTTTGAGCGAGTAAAGCGCTTAACCCTTTCACCCCTATGTAACTTTAGTAGACTCTACAATGCATTAATATGGAGGGGTCCATTATGGTCTACAGTGGTGAAAGGGTTAAATAAGACTACGGCTAAATTTAATTGTACAGTACGTATAATGAAATGTGAATGAATGACATCCATATAAGGAGATATCAGATACCATATAAGGACCGAAAGACTATATAAGGTCATAGGTGGCATAAGTATCTACTGTGCAATTCCACGGTAAGCAAATTCCGTAGTATGCGCAATCCCCTAGACACCTGCGTTACCTAAACCTGTAAAATTAAATTACCTTTATAAAACAGTGATCATCAACCTTGTGGTTGATACATGATTTTTATCTGAAGGTTTTACCTGACAAAAGCCAGGGAAATTGTGGGTAGTAATGTAATGCATTTATATTCAGAAAACGAAAGTACAAGAGTTCTTTTGGTTTATTAGTGAGGCAGGATGTTAAGATCGCCAAGGGTGAAGAGTTACGCATGACCAATCAACATTAAAGAAGAAAGCTGAAAAAAAAATCCAACATAAGACAGTTTTCAGACTGTTAAGTTTACTATAATCCCTCATAGAACCTAGGTACTCTATGAGGCGTGTACAGACTTTGTGTAAAGTTGACCCTCCCTTAGTGTGGCAAGGTACTCCATGGATGGCACAGCCTTCAACTGTACTCACCTTATTAGATACCAGGTACTCTGTAAGGCCAGACAGATTTTGTGTGCATTTGGCCCTCCCTTAATGTGGCAAGGTACTCCATAGATAGACATAGACTTCAGCTACCTGAGGTGAGTATTAATTGTGTGTGAAGTTGACTCACCCTTAGTGAGGCAAAGATGCTCCATGAATAGGTACTTAAGCCTTCCTCACCTTAGTAGATGCCAGGTACTCCGTAAGGAGGGTAAAGATTTTATGTGAAGTTGGCCCACCCCTATTGGGGCAAGGTACTCCTTGAGGTTAGAACAGATTTTGTGTGAAGTGGGGGCACCCCTATTGAGGCAAGGTACTCCATGAGGTTATAACAGATTTTATGTGAAGTTGACTCACCTTTCTTGAGGCAAGGTACTCAATGGATAAAAAGAGTTTAGCTGCACTCACCTTAATAGTTGGGAAATAATCTATGAGGTGCGTATTACTTGTGTGTGAAGTTGACTCACCCTTAGTGAGGCAAAGATGCTCCATGACTAGGTACTTAAGCCTTCCTCACCTTAATAGATGCCAGGTACTCCGTCAGGAGGGTAAAGATTTTATGTGAAGTTGGCACACCCTATTGAGGCAAGGTACTCCGTGAGGTTAGAACAGATTTTATGTGAAGTTGGACCACCCCTATTGGGGCAAGGTCCTCCATGAGGTTAGAACAGGTTTTATGTGAAGTTGGCCCAGCCCTATTGGGGCAAGGTACTCCTTGAGGTTAGAACAGATTTTGTGTGAAGTTGGCCCACCCCTATTGGGGCAAGGTACTAATTGAACAGACAACGACTTTAGTTTTACTCATCTTAATAGATGCTAGGTATTCCGTAACGCAAGGACAGATTTTGTGTAATGTTTACTCATTATTAGTTAGGCAAAGTACTCCATGGTTCAGCACAGACTTAAGCTTAACTCAACCTTAACTCATTCACCCCTGCAATTTTATAATGAACTATTCTAACCTTTGAACTGGAGGGGTTCAAATGTGTTTTCAGGGGTGAATGAGTTAACAGATTGTGTAAACTTTTTCAAACTCATAGGGCTAGGTGCTCCATAAGGCAATGCCAGACTGCAGCAGGTAAACTCACCCTCATTGAGGCCAGGTACTCCATAAGATGGTACTCCTCCTTCAGGATGATCACGAGGCGAGTACAGATTTTGGAGTACTGTTGTCGGATGTGAGGATAAAGACATTCCTGTAACATGATGGATAAGGGCTGCAGACCATTTCCTGTCACCTTGAGGGCTCTACAACTGACAAAAACATACACTATTTCAATACTCTCTTCCAGGAAGAGCTGAAGACAATCCCCTGTTATCTTGAGGGATCTTTAACAGATCTTGAGGGATCCCGAGTTTGTAGGTCGTCTCTTGGAAATGTAAGTCGCAGTTTAACTCTTTCCTCTTTTTGAACGTAATTATATCAGGACAGCAAATATTAGAACACAACCTACTATACTCAGCAACTACAAATAAAGGGGGAAATAAACACTGGAACAGTTCAAAGTATGACTTGGTGAAGGTTTTCAGGTATACAATATACTGTTTTGATAAAAAAAATCCTAGGAATTATTTGTTACAGTTAAGTTTTTGTGATTTTTGCCCTAAAAAATTGATGAAATAAGGGCAATATCATCTTGACAGTTAGTAATAGAACAGAGTTTACTATGCATAGCATCTAATGTAAAGGAGGAAACAAAGTCAGGGCAAATATGTTTTTTAATTGTATAGGCAAATTGTTTTCTTGTATGCACCAGATAATAATAATAATTTGAGGTTCTTATATACCGCTTTATCACAACCGAGTTTGTAGGTCGTCTCAAAGCGGTTCACAAATTATTATCTGTGGTTATAGGGCTATTGCAACCAGCCAATATCTTTCTCAACTCCCTGGGCAGCATACAGCCGGAGCTGCCATTTCGGCCCTCACAACTAGCACTCTACAATTCTAGCACTGCCCAACCATGTACTCATTTGCAGCTGAGAAGACTGGAACAAGCAGAGTAAAGTATCTTGCTCAAAGATCCAACACAGTGTTGTGCTGTGACGCGAACCCGCAACCCTTCGGTCACAAGCCCGGCTTCCTACCACTAAACTACCGTGTCTCCTGACAGTTCCCATTTCACCTTACACCTTAAACCAAACACATCAACTTGAGGGCACCACAACAGACAAATATCATCTTTAGGTTACTAGAACAAATATCATCGCCATTATGGCACTGCAACAGACAGGCATCATTATGAGGGTACTACAACTGATAGAAATAAGAATTTGAAATTCCTTATATCTTCAGTGGTAATACCGTCAGGGGGATCACACACAAACCTGTTACTGGTATCCTTAGTGTTAATGCTGTTAGGGGAGATCTTGTTTACACCCAAACCTGTTACTGGTATCCTCTGTGTTAATGCTGTCAGGGGAGATCTTGTTTACACACAAACCTGTTACTGGTATCCTCTGTGTTAACGCTGTCAGGGGAGAACTTGTTTACACACAAACCTGTTACTGGCATCCTTTGTGTTAACGCTGTCAGGGGAGATCTTGTTTACACAGGCTGTGAACACAGTGTCAAAGTTTATCCTCAATAGTCGGTCATACGTCCCCCTTATGTTCATCTGGTCCTCAATCTGCTGGGTGAAGATAGTCGTGTCTAGAGTAGAATCTACCACCTGGGTATCTTCTGTATCTGAAGTTTCTGAATTCAAGAGGTTTTCTAAAGATTCGAGAAAGGTGTCGTACAAAGGCGTGGCCTTATAAACTGAAACGAAAGAAAAGTTGTTTAAAGTCATTTCATAGTCAGTGAATTTTAAAACCAACATTCAGAAGGAATTTTAAGGACTATCTCACATACACGATTTAAGAAAAGTCGAAAAATCGTGTTGATTTGTGCTCGACCTTGTGGTTTATGCAAATTTCTTAACCAAACACGCCCCTCATACGACCAAAAACGCCCCTCATACGACTGTCATAAGATATTCATACGATACAACACGATTTAACCTCATTTAACATGACGGCTTAAAAATAAACACGATCTCCATACGACTGAGCAAGACTTTCATACGACATATTTTTGTTTATTTTGGTCATGTGGGTCATGTAGTATATAAGCTGCATTGCAACAGCATTTCTGTGTCAGTATTCGCCATGTTCAACAACGAACAAGACCCGCAAGAAGTACCGGGTGGATGTTCATCCATGGTTGGTGGTGTGGATGTTTCCCTTTTGAAGGTTAGCTTGGAAGAGCTGCCGTTTCGGCCGCTGAGGTTTGGCATGGCTGTAGAATGAACTTTCACTTTCAGGGGGTTTCCAACGTTCTCACCCAGTCACGTGATGGGCTCTTTCGGTCGTATGACAAACGTATGGATTCTGTGTTCAGGCGTATGGGAGTCATATGAAAGGCGTATGAAAGTCTTGTTGAATCGTGTTAAAACGTATGAAGGTCGTATGAGTTTCTTCCCACGCTCCCCAACACGACTGAACATGATCTTCATACGACTGAACACGATCTTCATACAATTGAACAAGACTGTCATACGACTTTTCAGCTCGGCTTATTTATAACACGATTTAAGCCGAGCTGCGACGTCCATACGACCGCGCGCGACCGACCATGACTTAACATGAATGAACACTAATGAGTGCGCGACCTTCATACGTTCTAACACGATTTAAAGAAAAACGTTAAATCGTGATTATTCGTGTTCAGATTCGTGAATGTGAGAAAGGGGCTTTAGTATTAAAAGTGGTTCATTTAAGGTTACATTCTACCCTACACATCATACTTGGGTTTGAATGAGAGTTATCTCTCTTTGCATAAGTTATCTACCTTCTTTAAAAAATTAACATTATTCATGACAATACAGAAATTGCTGTGTACCTTTCAAACGAGTCAAACAACTATTACCTTTTGACTGTTTCATCTAGTCATGTGCACCTTTCAAATTTGTCATTATTCAATTAACTAAATTACTAAATATAAAAGTTTTGAATCAAATTTCTCAAAATTTCTCAAAGCAGAACTCTTTTGAAAATTAGATTCCTAACACATCAATGTGGTATATACATTTATGTAAACCAACGTTAATCCAAGAATCTGTATAAGGCTAAACAAAACATTATTTGTGATTTTGGAACCTTCAATATTTCATTTATGGAAGAAAAAAAAAGGTGCTGTTATTTCAGTAATTGGAAAGTTTAAGACATGATATTCTAAGGATCCATCTATTCTCAAATGGATTTAATGTACATATTTCATGGATTTTAATAAACTACCTATAACATGGCAGAGTATTGCAAGGCAATCCATAGTCATCTACCGGTAATGATTTCTATATTTAACAAACAGTACACCTAATAGAGCTGTCACGATACACTTTACCCACGAATCGATATGTATCTCGATATTTGCACCACGATTCAATTATTTCAATTAGATACACCTTAATTTTAAAATATAAACAAAACGAGATATATAAGGCGTCGATACACTGAAACCCGAAATGTTTCCACACTTTTGATTTGAAGCTTGCATTTCCATACCGCGGTCTACCGTTTTGTTATGAATGCTTTGTGAAAATTGCATCCTTGCAGCCGATTGGCTGAGGATTTAGAGATCAGCCAATGAAATTGAATGTCTCACAGACGTTTCGGCTGAAGCGGCATACACTAATATTCAGATCATAACGTATCGAAAATCCGGAAAAATATATCGTGAATCAAATCGAATATAAATAATCGTGGTACAAGTGCATCGTGGTGAATCGTGACGCCTCTAACACCTATGTCAGGAAGCAAAGGTCACAGTGAGGATATACTGACCTACTTCTTGCACCCCGCCATCCCAAGATGTCCTTGTACACCAAATATGGTTACTCCAGGTGAAATAGTACAGAAGATATGCCCGGACAAACTTTTTCAAAAGTTAAGTTCAAAGGTCAAGTCATAGGTCATAGTGACCTAATTCTTGCACTCCGCCATCAGGCAAGATTTCTTTGTACACAAAATCTGGCTACTCCAGGTGAAAAAGTATAGAAGATTTGCCTCAGACAAACTTTTTCAAAAGTTAAGGTCAAATATCAAAGCATAGGTCACAGTGAGGTCATAGTGACCGTCATCTTGTATTCTGCACTCCGCCATCCTAAGATGTCCTAATACACCAAATCTGGTTACTCCAGGTGATATAGTATAGAAGATACGTCCTGGACAAACTTCTTTGACGGAAGGACGGAATGCAAACCTATAGTCCCCCCCTCCCTCAGGAACCGGCAGGGGACTAATAATGTATGATAAATTACTAAGATCACTAAGCATTTATCATTCTACATGTCAACACTAAAAGTTTGTATCATTACAAATACTTACAAATATCATCTTTTTTGCCGACAACATCTCTTAAGCGTCCCAGTCCTTGGAACATCTCCATGGACTTTCCGGCTAGGACGACCTCAAGGAGGATGGGCTGTAAAAACTGAGGTGCCCAGTGTGAGATCATACCTGTCGACAAGCAAATCAATGTCTTTAACCTTTCAACACCATAGACCATAATGGACTTATCTAGACCAATGCATGGTAGAGTTTATCAAAGTAATATAGGGGTAAAAGGGTTAAATACTATAGGTAAACTTACACTAGTCCAGTATTTTTCATTCATTTTTTAACAACTAGGAAACACTATTGCATGGTCTGAAAGAACTATCGCATGGTAAAAAATCTGGAAATATCGTACGATGAAGATATCCAGGTTATAGTCACTTCAAACTTTTTCATTTTGCACAGTGGCAAGGCAGAGCACCTGTAGCCATTGCAAGTACTATACCTCATCTTTATAACAGCATGTTTGATTGGATGATATTGATAATATAAGGGTAATAAAACATCATGTCACCCTCATGGGCTAAGGTTTCCCTAATCATATTTCCCTTATTCTGATCATGAGCTTCTCTAGAAAAATTGGCAAGAGCTACAACAACCAAGTTCCGAATGGCCGAAGCAGACGACAACATTGGCGCCTCAACCTGAACATATATACTATTGGATTATTGTTTATTTCCCTTATGGTAGTAAAACACAGCTTTTTGTTTCTCCTCAATTAATCATATTTGACTTGGGCTTCGCCTTCTTGAAACAGGATTGATTTTGGAAAAACAAAGAATTGTTTTTCCCTTCAACAAGGGCAATAAATATATATAATATAGGACTGTATCGTTTCCAATAGACAATAGTATTAAACTTGAGGTAGGTTCTGATCAAGATGTAGTTAAGGTTTCCTGTCCCACTGTGAACAAAACACTTAGAGAGCTCCACTGAAGTTTTTCTTACATAGAGTAACTTCCCCTTAATTTTGTTTTGAACTGTAGTTCTATAAGGACATGGGTACCACTGTGGACTATGTTGGTTACAGCGACAGTTAATGATGGGCAATCTATTTAAAATCCTAATCCATAATTGGTTTGTAATCCGAAGTAGTAAACTGATTGATGATTGATTACATTATCGGTTTATAATTTTGTGGAACTGAATACCCAAATAAAGTGAGAACACTACGGTATTACATCAATAGACAAACGATATATCAAGTTTCCTTCTTTATATTGAATGGATTTCAAGCATTTTTTATGCAGTCTTGCCAATCATATAGCAAAACTCATAAAAATAGATGACTTTCAGAATATACTTTTAAAGTATATATTGAAAATCATTTATTCCTATGATTTTAAACAAACTTGCCAAACTGAATTTTTTGTCGCAAAGTCTAAAAAGTGTCATGGTGACCGTTAATACGAGCCCTGCGTTACATTGTATATGTTTCACACTTTGTTTTCATTAATGAACTGATTATATATATTATGGAATTTGTAAAAGATAATCAGAACCTCAAAATGCAAACCAATCAATTTTTAAATCATCAGCCCGTCATTAGTGACAGTATAATGATACGAGATCCAGAGTTCAATCCATACTTGCCAGATCTCCCGATTTTGGACACTAAAATTGAGCAGTTTCAACCAGTGAATTTGCTAGACTATTCCTATATTCTAAGATCTAATGATTTCATCTGAAAGAACAGCTCAAACAATGCCATTGAAAAGTGTTGTTTTTCCCTCTAGGGTGTACATACACACATTTTGTTTATGCTTTTAATTCTGAGCATGCGTAATCTCCCCCACGGAAATTAAAAAAAGTTGGCGAGTATGTCAACCCCATTCAGGCTTTGCTGCAATTTTTATGCAGGACAACACTCTTCTCAGGAATAATGTATCTAAGCCACACGTCCAGTGCATGGTTACAGGTTTTGGCAGTGAGTGTTATTGGAATCCTTCAAACATAGACACATTATAGTGCTGATTGTTTTTGAGGTTTGCCTCTGGTATTTATGTATATAATTGTAGCACTCATATCACCCAAAAAAGGAGCAGGTTGCTTTTAAAATTTGATAACAGAAAAATGTCGATTTGTTTTCCCTCTTTTAAAATTACGAATCCTATAGATCCTTATCACAAAACTGGCATTCCTAAGAAATGTGTTTTAAATCTGTAAATGACATAGAAATTATGATCTGACCTTTGATTTGGCTGCTGTCCAGTGACCTTGACCCTGTTTGGCGTGAGACTGATTCCTCCATCAGACTTTTGTCGGAGGGGATATGGATAGTGAAGGCTGTCTCCCAAAAGCTTTCATCCAGGGATCGCACATTTTCATTTCTATAAAAAAATATTTGTTTATCATGAACACGCTAGATCTGGTCATGTAACACATGAAAACATAAGTATATTTAAGTCGGAAAACACTCAGTTATATTAAATAGTGATCAATCTCGCCCTGAAGACAATATTACCAGATTCTTTCATGCCCAGGGGTGTAGGATAGGGACATACCACCCGAGTGGTTGTCAAATTTGGTAAAACCCAAGGCTTTGCCGTGGGTTTTGCCAAATTTGAAAATCCCGAGGGTAGAATGTCCCTATCCTACACTCTTGGGCATGAAAGAGTATTTCTCTCTCATTTCAACCACCAGAATAAGCCCAGAAACCATGAAAATGAGTTTGGACTGGCCACCATTTTGAAAATATCAATTTTCCCCCTGAGCTTTTGAGACAAAAACGCATCAGCCAGCCAGATTAAGCATATCCCATATTTGTAAACATTGTTTGCACAGAAAATTAATCACATCTTTCTTATGTGTACGGTAAATATATAGTAAAAGGTTTTAATTTCATCACGTCGCCTTTTCCGCATTGCGGCATCGGAGAGTTCATGACGTCACGTCATTGTTGATCCATTGTGATGTCTCGTCACGTGAAATGGGGTGTAAGATAGAAATATTTCCTACACCCCTTTCTTACCCTGGACAGCTCTATCTTACACACAGGGAAATGGGAGAAATGACAATCTTTACCTGGATATGAAAAGTGACCAATATTTTTCGACATCAAAAGAGACCAATCTTTACCAAGATATGATCTTTTTTACCAATCTTTTTTCTGAATGTGACCTTGTTGACCGATTAATTAAAGCAAGGTCACAAAGGTCAAGGTCACAAAAATGTTGTGTAACATGTTCTACTCAAAAAGGTGCTAAAGGCAAAAAATAAAATGTTTGTTTCAGGTTCACAGACTCACCATAGTTTTTACCTAACAATTATATCTCACTAGAACGCACTTAAATGTCCGTGCCTTTATAACACCTCTCTACTTCATAGGCAGGTATCAAAACTAAATTTTGATCCCATATTGTTATTTAAAATACTTAAAAATATAATAGAAAAGAAAAAAAAGTTCTGTGTAACTATGTTTGGTGATATTTCACCCCCCCCCTCCCCCCCATTCAAATAAAAAGTAAATCCCAAACAACCTACCCTTTTTTCAGTCAGGTTACTTGAAATATACATACTTTTATGAACTTGTGTTACACTAGCTGCAGTACTTAGTCTGTGACTGACCTAAATGCAAACTTAACTGGCCAGACCTAGGTACAGACAAGAGTTACAGCATATGTCAAGCACAACTTTGTGATGAGGCATAGAAATGGCTGGATGCGTTCTAACAAGGTTATAGTATACTTTGGTTTTGTTTCATGTCCTATTAACACCTATAGTCATTTAAGGACATGCAAGGTTTTGGTGGTGGAGGAAAACTGGAGAACCTGAAGAAAAACCACCACCAACCAGTACCAGGCGACAGCGGCCCCGTTATAGTATGGTCTACCGACAACCAAAATCATGCTGTAAATGCACTGGCTGACCTTTTGACGATGAACTCCTCCATGGGGTCCGGCAGGTTGCCCTTGGTGACCCAATCGTCTATGATGTCAAGGTAAGGTTTACACGTCTCTATCCACATCGGCAGCAACATATTCATCTTGAACAGAAACAAACACAAATCAGCACACATATAAACTCTTAGAGAAACAAACGTTAAATATGTCTTGGGCAGATTTTTGATTTGTTTGTGTTTTACGTCCTATTAAAAGCTATGGTCATTTAAGGACGTGCCAGGTTTTGGTGGTGGAGGAAAGCCGGAGTTCCCGGGGAAAAAACACTGACCTACGGCCAGCACCTGGCGACTGCCCCACGTAGGTCTAGTATCCGCGACCCAGTGTTAGTGGGCCAGTGGTAGCAGAATGTCAGACGCCTAAACCACTTGACAACGCGGCCCCAACAAACATCAAACACTTTAAGTCAGAAACAAATGTTAAAAGCATTTAAGAAACAAACATTAAACATATCTTAGAAAAAATATTAAACATTTCTTATCCATAAATATAAAACACATCTTACAACCCATGGTTTATAAGCAGTGTCTTGGACAAAAACAAAAATATGCATCTTTTAAAAGTAAAATAACTTTGGATGAAACCTACTCAATTTCCTCTTAGCTCAAACTGTTTAACATCTTTGCATTTTTACAGCATTATCAGGATTTACTTGGTTTGTTTGTGTTGTAAGTCCTATTAACAGCTGTAATGGTCATTTAAGGACGTGCCTGCAGGTTTTCAAGGTTGTGGAAAACCAGACATTATCAGGAAGTCATTCATTTGGAATCAAAGCTGTCAAAAGTTTATCTTTGACAGAGTGAAGAAATTAAGACACTCACCATTTCTGAGGTCAAAGTACCCATGGCATCATGTTCTAATACAGCATCATACAGAACACTGAGTAACTGGGACGCCTTCTGGTAGTTGCCTGGCAACCACTCTGCCTCTTTCACTCCTCTCTCATATATTGAATGAATGACCTTGACCTTTGGTAACCATGGTTTTAATCTGGTGTGCAGCATGGCCAGGGTAAAAGTCTCTTCTGTAATATTGAAAAATTGTACGATGATAATGATTTCACGATGTATAGTGTGTTCAACTTGCAAAGACACAACCAGAAATAAAGTACTGAAATAGTGCTTTAATTTCAAAACTGAACCATTTTTGTAATTTTGTTCCTGGAAATTGTTTTTTCACCCTACACAATTACATGTCAAAAAATCCTTAATAACTATACACATTAACAAATATATAGTTCATATGAATTCTTTTCTTGCCAAGAATAAAGCATCTTTTTTAGAAAAGAATTAGAATCATTAGCAGTACTTTAAACAAGAACACATTCCTTTCTTGAACCTCGAGGCCATTTTTTCGTGGGCCCAATTTTTTTCTCTCTCTCACTTGAACAAGTTTGTGGGCTTTCACTTTTCTGAATTATTAAATGACACTGAAAACATGAAAACTAAGTAAATCTTAAAGTTCACCTTGTTTGATAACAATTTTTTCTATCGTGGTCAGTTCCTGTCGCAGACTTTTTATACAGCGAGCCACCACTTGGGAGAAGGCTTCGAGCGTCTGACAGATGCCACGTCCACTTGACGAGCCATTACTGTCGCCATAGCAACAGCTCTGGTCGATCACCTCTTGTTCAAACTTGAGCAGGTCGTGAATATAGGCGGCATGCTCTGTAAACTCCCTTAGGGACGCCTCCAGAGAATTCTGAGCAAGATTATGTGTATTATTACATTACAATATTTTTGCGACAATATGCCAGTATTTGTTATTTCAATATCCTGTAACCCCCCTACCCCGGGGCCCCTCAAATTTACTTTAGTTACATTTGCGTTCCCTGTTGAACCGGGACAGGTGGCGCCGAGATATTCTACATAAACGAACGCACTTGGACCGTTCTATAAGTAGAGCTAAACATGCACAGTTTCAGAGTTTTTAATATGCATCAAAAATATTATGCCCTTCTTTCATCCGTCCACTGAATTACATAATGTATCGTAAAAACTACATGTGGCTTGACATTGTTTAAGAAAGAAATAACGAAAACTAAAAATAGTCAGCATTTTAGTTTCGGTCAGGTACGTCTGGACACCTCAATGTACAAGTTCCGAATATTCCCGAGGTCAGCCTCGGTTCAGATCTGTGCCTGGTTTTTTTTAAAAACAGGTTCAACTGTTTCCACTGGTTGAACCCGATATATGAAAGGGGCCTTAGAGTCAGAAAATATGTGTAGGCCCCCTGGGCTTATTGCAGGATAAATACAGTATTTTATGAGAGTTATGTATTTAGCATTGGAATTTGCAGGAGCTGTCTTATCAGGCGCTAACTACTAGTCCTATACCACCTGGCTAATATCTCTCTATGTGTGTATGCCTGCGTGTGTGCTGGAGATGTAATGTGCTCTGTTTGTAGTCGGAATCTGCAGGAGCTGCCTTCTCAGGCGCTAACTACTAGTCCTATACCACCTGGCTAATATCTCTCTATGTGTGTATGCCTGCGCGTGTGCTGGAGATGTAATGTGCTCTGTTTGTAGTCGGAATCTGCAGGAGCTGCCTTATCAGGCGCTAACTACTAGTCCTATACCACCTGGCTAATATCTCTCTATGTGTGTATGCCTGCGTGTGTGCTGGAGATGTAATGTGCTCTGTTTGTAGTCGGAATCTGCAGGAGCTGCCTTCTCAGGCGCTAACTACTAGTCCTATACCACCTGGCTAATATCTCTCTATGTGTGTATGCCTGCGCGTGTGCTGGAGATGTAATGTGCTCTGTTTGTAGTCGGAATCTGCAGGAGCTG